CATATAAGTTTAAAAATGGATTAGAAAAAAATTGAATAGATTATATATATATATATAGGAATTGTTATTAGCACTCCAAAAATCTCATTATACACTCCAAACTTTCTATATTATGAAAGAAAAATACATTTGTGAGGAGTGTAGAATAAGATTTTTGGAGTGCCAATAACACTTCCAAAAAAAAAAAGGGTACATTTTACATATAACAAATTGGTATTTAAGAATGAGTACATTTTAAGATTAAAAAGTTTTACATGAATGGGTACATATAATTAGCATGGGTACATTTAGCAAAATAAAAAGTGCAAATAAAAAAAATATATGGGTACAAATACAAATAAACTTTAAAAAATATGGGCATAAAAAAAAATTAATATATGGGTACGAATTAAAACTGAAAAGAAAATTGGTACAAATTAAAAAAGAATTACATATTAAAAATGGGTACAAACTAAAGCTAAAAATATATGATAAAAAATTTAGTCATGAATATAAATATAATAATTGTAACATTTTTAACATTAAAGGAATATATTTAGAAATAAAAAAAAATATTATTGAAATAATTAATGGTGTTATAATACCCAAGGACCTTGATCAAAAATTAAAAATGAATAGGATTTTAATCAATGGAGTAGCAAAATGAAGGATAAGAACCTAATTTCTCCTTTTTTTTTTTTTTTTTTTTGTAAAAATGAAGATTAGTTGTGGGGTCCACATCACATTAATTTTAACGATCTGAACCATCTATTTTTCAAGTTGCACCTTATAGATCATTCTTGCAAAATATTAGCCAAATCAGAAGTATTTAAGACATCGAATTGAGTTCAAAGAAATTAACAAATACTTTGTTATATAAGAAACAATAAATTTTTATCTTGATAATTAACTAGGTAAATGGTTTTGGATTGAATTAAATTTTTGTAAGGATGATCTATGAATCGTGACTTACAAAATAAAAGGTTCGGATCGTTGAAATTCGATGTGGAGTGAGTTCCACATTTAATTCTCATTTTTTGAAAAAAATGAAGAACCCTTTGCGTAAAGGGCTCGACCGTTGAAGTTTCTAATTACAGACACTTGACAAATTAAGCTGTTTTGATGGAAAATGTTGATAACGACAGATCACCATGTAGTATGAGCATATAGCGATAAGGTAGCCCCCCTTCCCCCTTCAGCGCCACCACACCGTGACACTGTGACGCTGTGACATTCCAGACACCCGTACTGTGTCTGTTTGTGCGAGTCATTTGTATTATTGCATGCAAATGAATTAACGTGCAACGCCGATTGCGAGGGGCTTTATCGGGGTGGCTAAGCTTGAACCTCCATCGAGCCCAAGTCGCGACGAGAAAGCACTGTCGTCATGCCAACCAACGCATCTGGACCCATCATATCTGTGGTTCCGTGTCTGTGTGGGCTTTAGGGTTTTAAATTAATTAATTAAGTTTAACTGTATATCAAGGCTGGATGAGCAGTTCGTACTAACGCTCTCTGTCTCTTGTTGCAAGTACTTTTCCATCCCCTTGATGTGGACGGCGAAGATGTTCTGCAAGTGGGAGTGGGATCCCATTTTCTACTTCCCTCTTTTGCGGGGGTAGAATAAACTCTGGCCCAGCATGGGAAATTGATATTTTTTTTCTATGTAAATTCTGCAACGCATGCAGTTGTACTAGATATGCATGCTGCTAAATAATTTGAACTTGGAAACTTTGCAATTTTAGTACTTTGGTCCTACATGGCGTGTTAAAATTTTGACTCAAAACTTACTCAGACTAAGTCGAAGCAATTTATAAACCAACGATGTCTTGTTGAGAATGATTGCTGATGCAAGCGTGCCAACTCGCTATTGAGTTTGGTCAGATGAGTAAAATGGATGCGGTGCGTGATATGGTGATGAAATGCATTGTTGCTTTCTGCATTGAGCAATTTCAACCGAGGAAGAAACACTCTCAGACTTGGGTTTTATAACTTGAAGACACATTTATGCCTTTTGCTAAGAAGGCCAATAACGGTTGGTGTTCAGTGTCCCGAATATAGTGTAACTTGTATAACACCTCACTTTGTCAAGAAAGCTAATGAAGTGGCCTCTTATTGTGAAAGATTCAAAGACTTTTTGCTGAAACAATCAAAGACTCTTCGCTGGCTTAAATTTAGGATAGATAACCAGTCAACCAAGAAGTAAGTGTTGTTTAACCAAACTGAAGAAACTCCTAGACCAAAATTTAGGATAGATAACTAGTCGAACAAGAAGTAGGTGTTGCTTAAATTTAGGATAGATAACCAGTCAACTAAGCAGTAAGTGTTGTTTAACCAAACTGAAGAAACTCCTAGACCAAGCTAATTCTACGGCTCCAGTGATGTTCAACCGAATTAAATATGTTGTTGATATGTCAACTCAGTGATGTTTAATTAGTATTTTTCTTAGGGAATGAGAAGGTTTTATGTAGAGCATTTGTTAGTGTGTTGAATTGAAAGTCCCTCTACATTGCAAAACTACTTCTATTTATAAGGTTGAATTTCGTGATGATAAAGTCTGCTGAGTTGTAGAATTCTGATAATATTCCAATTCTTCAGCATATTCTTCAACCATGCAGAATTATCTTCACAATTACCTTCATCAAAACTCATCACCACTGAGTTTCATTTGCATTAAGATTCTGAATCTGGTTGCTCTAAGTGATAAATTCAACCGTTATCCAAAAATCCAATTCTAATCCTTTAATAAATGACTTGAATCTCAACAGAAACCGATCTTGATCTTAAGACAGTCCTACTTTATCCTGGTCAAATCAAGGGTCAAGACTTGCAGTCACCTTTCTGGGCTGACTTCAATTCAGTCGAAAATCTGAATTTCAGGCCTAAACAATGTCATAACTTGTAACATGTATGTAAAGTAGGTATCCGATGATACTGTCACAATCACACCTTATATATTTGATTAATTATTCAGACTTTGATTAATACTACGACGAATAATTAAAGGATTCTAACAATTAGTGCCATGTTCATGAATGAAGCAAATAAACCTTTCGGATCCCCGGCTCACAGGATTATTTCCTTTTTAGAAATTCGTTATATACTTTCCAGAATCCTTAAAAACATTTATTCTTTCGTATACAATGAGCATGAATATGCAAAACCTATTGATATACTGTTGTTAATATTCTTTTCTTTCTGCATGCAAAAAGACCAAAATGCTTTAACGTCCCTTCACTTCACAACATATATAAAACCAACTACATTAACGAACACTTCTGTCCTGCTCACCAAAACCCTCCTCCCACGCATTCTTTTCTCCCAGAATATGTTCAACTGCGACCGGCTGCCGATCCAGTACTCCACCACCCCAGAGCAACAACGGCCCATGAAGCGTCAACACACCACCCGGTACTACGCCCACCGCGTCCGCGAAAGCCTCACCACCCGGGTCTCCAAGCTCATATGCACCATTTTCTTAAGCCTCCTCCTCATCCTTGGTATGATAACGTTCATACTATGGCTCAGCCTACGTCCCCACCGCCCTAGATTTCACATCCATGCATTTTCAGTTCCGGGTTTGGGTCAAGAAACCGGGTTTGCAAATGCGGAGATAACGTTCAATGCAACAGCCCGTAACGCGAACCATAATATAGGCATATATTATGATTCGATGGACGCAACGGTGTATTATAGGGACCAACGGATCGGGTCAATTACGGGTTTATTGGACCCGTTTTATCAAGGCCCAAAGAATACGACGATCGTGATGGGGTCGTTTCAGGGGGCCACCTTAACGGTAAATAACCAGCGTTGGATGGAGTTCACGAATGATCGTACAAAAGGAACGGTCGTTTTTCGTCTTGAATTTACGGCTACGATTAGGTTTAAGATCCACGCGTGGGATAGCAGGCGTCATCGGATGCACGCCAACTGTGATGTTGATGTGGGCCAGGACGGCTTGATCTTGCCCGTTTCTAAAGATAGGAGATGCCCTGTATATTTCACCTGAGTTGGGACATTTTTTTATTTTTTAAATTCGTTTATAAATTAATTAATGTTTTTATTTTCCCTTTCTTTGTGTGATTTTTTCATTTGTTGTGCAATCTTTCTACATTAATTGGTTCAAATTATTGAATTTGTGGTGCAAATCTTTTTAATTCAGGATGTTATTGAAATTTTTACCGTTTCTTAATGTTCTAATAAAACCGTTATAATTTTACTTTAAAAGGAATTGTGAAAACAAATTGGTACTGTATTTTGCAGAACCTCAACGGTTTTTACGACAAAGCGCTGATGTGGTGCTTGTGTGATTAGAACCTCTAGAAAGGCCTTCAAGCATAATTTTCCTCTTTTCTTGTTCTGTTAACTTTTGTTCCTCTGTAACAATTTGCAAAGTGCTAGCAACAGTTGCACTAACCTTTGCATTTAGACTTCTCACTTCTTCAAATGACACTTGTTTTTTGAGTAAAAATATGTCACGGGTCACGCAAAGAAGAAAAAAAGTCCAAATGCAAAGATTGCTAACATTCTCTCACACTTTTCGATATGCTTTCCATGTTTCCTCGAATGCAAAAACGAAAATAAATCTTTTAGACAGAAAAAAGTTGGTAAAAATCTTCAACTTCTATCTCCAAATCATGTAAAACTTTTGTACTAAAAGATGATCATGTACAATATTTGTGCTATATTGGCTTAGCAATAAACACTAATATGAGCTATTTGGATGCAAGAAAAGACATTTTGTTTTCAAACTCCAACATGTTAAATATGATTTGTGCATCCTCAAAGCATAAACACTACCTTAATGAAGCTTACGATGCCATTTGATTCGTCTTCAAATCGGATCCAAGGGAATTTAGGGGATAATCAAGATATTCAACAAAATCACTATCATAAAATGGGTCCGAATTGGGTAGACTCCTACATAAGTAAGGGATCAGAAGAGCTTACCCAAATCATGTTCCTTCTCTTCCAAGGATTCCAAGTTGCCTGAAATACAATTCCTGACCTACAGATATATCAGACTTTATCCTTCAATGTCAAGAAGAAAAGAACATATCCTCTTGTAACTTGGATTACAAGGACCCTCTGATACTCCTACTTTTCTCCTCCTACTTATGAATCCTCATATAAACAACTAGTGCAACCCAATTCATTTAAAACTTTGAAGTGAATCTAATCCTCAGACGGAGAAATGTGTGAAGCAAAGACTTTCAATTGCTGGGCTATGCAATTTCTAGCTTTCTTGGGACTCCTAGCCCTCTGTCTATGGGTGGCCTTACGTCCAAAGGACCCTGAGTATACCATCGTGGATATTACCATCCCAGAATCTGATTTAGGGGGCGGGGGACACAATGGTTCTCTCACATATGGCCTTCAAATCAAAAATCCTAACAAAGACTCTAGCATTTACTATGATGAGGCAGTTTTAACGTTCTTGTATGGGTCCGATAGTGTTGGGGAGAAACACATACCTGCTTTTCGGCAAGGAAAAGGTAAAACCCATCAAGTGATTGATTTTGTTGATGTCAACCCACGAGTTTGGAAAACTTTTCGCAATTCCATATTGAATGCAACTGCAGAATTGAAGGTGGCTTTACTAACTCGGGTTCAATATAAAACATGGGGAGTGAGGAGTAAGCATCATGGGCTAGATTTGCACGGTAAATTACCTATCGGTTCAGATGGTAAGATTTCTGGTAAGAAGAAGAAAGTTAAGCTAAGCCATGCTTCCAAGAAATGGAGAAGGAGCAATAGCCGACAATTACTAGGTTAGATGTTTTCTTGTAAATTTACAATATGGCTTCCCTTACTTTCATATTGTTGCTTGTAAATTATATACTCGTAATTGTTCCAATTTTTATTGTAGTAGATCACACAATTCAACAGTTTAGCAAATGACCTGCACAATTGTAATGATACATACTTCCAACTCCCTTTTAGAGTCATAAATAACAATACAACAGTAGAATTAAGAACAAGTTCTTGACTTATGCCTTAATATTATTAGGAGAGCTGGCGCAAACGCAACCAAAATTCCGTCTAAATTTCAGTTTCAAGGTTTAATAACATGTGAGTGCACCTGATTTTCCTTTCTAATGATTCTCAGGGTTCCACTGTTTTGATGTCCGACTGTAGTTTGTAACTTGCCTTCGCCACTCATGGGCTGGAACCTAAAACGCAACCAGAATTATGTTGTTTATATATCCCAAACATCCAACAATCACCCACAGTTCCAGCTCCATTATTTTGGGTACACAATACATGAAAACAATTTTTCTTGTTATTCTCATTTTTCATAAGTAGAGTACAACATGATACTTACAGCAGGGAAGCCACCGTAATCTCCAGGTTCTGTAATATCTTTCATGACACAGCTCATACCAGCAAGCCGTACCTTCAAAGTCCACGTAATTATATTCAGAAATATTTGTTAACCAATGAAAAAATGTGAGAGCACGAAAAAGAATAAAATATCAGTAGAAAAACTAAAAAAGAAAGTAACATCAAACTTCAAAATCAAATGATATTTAAAACCTGTACTGAGTTCTTTAACAAGTGACAAGCAATGACTAATTTTGGCTACTACTAGATTGGGCCATTGTATGTAAGAAAATACCTTTGATATAATGGATACATGGTCACGAACTGCTACCCTCCCTCCCATAGTTACATAGTCTCCTATCCTACAATAGAAAAGAAAAAGGACAGCCATCAGATTTGGTAGATCTTCTGAATCATCGGCTAAGTTGTTGAAGTGAAAGTGAATCATGTTACGGTGGGCTTTCTAAATCAGAAAAATACAGGGGGGACATAAAAAGAACTTACGTCACTGAGCCTGCAATCCCAACTTGTCCACAAACTATGCAATTGTTCCCAATAACTACATTATGACCAATCTACAAGAAACGAACAAATGGATAATTGTATACTATTCCAGAAAATTACCCAAGAACTTAAAAAGCAAAAGTTAACCTGAACTAAATTGTCTATCTTTGAATGATCCCCTACAACGGTATCTCTCCAACTGCATAAACCAAACAATGTTATAAATTATTATTCAAACTTTAACAGAATCCAAGTACAAACTTATTCAGAAAATATAACCATGCATCTGAAATCAGTTGATATCCAAGGCTCTATTTCTAACCTGCCCCTGTCAATGCAAGTATTTGCACCAATCTCCACCTGGTTTCCAATCCTAGCATTCAGCATCTTGGGGATGTGGAAAAGAACAAGAAATACATACAATAAGATGCTTTGATTTCTACAGTTGGATGAAAATGCATAAATAACCTCTTATCGTCATACAAGTCATATATATGAAGACACTCTTGCCCCAATAATGATTAATGCAATGTAACGAACTACTACGAAATTGAATATGTTGATCCTAAAGAACTAACATATCGTGATTGCATTCAAACATTATCAGAGAAAAATATTCAAAACACAAAGAAAGATAAAGAAAACAAAAGGACATCAATTCGAGTACATAAAAGCATCACTAACTTGAGGCCTCTTTAACATATTCCCATGCTCATCCACCATAAATCCAAATCCTGTAGTTAAACAAACATCCCACCAAACATCACATTTTCCATCGCCGCACATCAAACACTATTCACATTAAATCATAACTAAGCTGATTGATCCATATCAATATTCCCAAATGAGTAAAAGCCTACAATAAGTGGCCTTACCATCTTGACCGATGCATACGCCACTGTGGATTATGCACGAATCTCCTATGCTGCAATTACTGAGTGCAACATTGTAGCTGCAGAGATTATGGTCGTAGTTACTCTATCAAAATCAAGCAAAAATATTAACAAGGCAATGACAAGTTAAAAGTTTGATCATTACCCAATTTTCGTTGATTGCCCAACTGTAACCGAAGGTCCAACGACAGCTCCAGAACCAATACAAACATGTTCGCAGACAACGGATTTAGAATGAACAACAGCACCAAACTCTATGAAAACTGTTGGGTCAATGCAGGCAGACTTGTGGAAAATCCCACCTCCGTTCTTCCATTGTCGGAATTCTGGATGACCAGTTGGAGCACACTCCTCTGATCTTGAAATACAGAGCAAGTGCAGAAATGGCAGTTAATGACAAAATAGGTGTTGTCTAAGAGACATTTTCACAAGCAGGTTCGGGGCATACCAGACGAAGCCGAAGACACGAAGGAACGGTAACTATTTCCAAAGCGCAACAGAGAGAAGCTTCGAACGAATTGGAGATGTGGCGAGTAGCAGAATGCAGCTGCAAGTCTTCTAAGAGCGCTTGCCATTAACTGAGGTCCGAGGAGGGAAAGCGGGCTGCTGCCGGTTTATTTTGAACCGAAGTATCCACCGTGCTTGACCGGAAGGGGTTTTGTAATGCAGGGCAGTTTCGTCCGCCTAGATTTGCGATTTGAGTTGGACCAACATTAGGTGTTGGGCTTGAAAGTCCAAGCCCATAGATTATTTAGAACTTCTCTATCTAATAAATGGGAATCTGCTTTGAAATCGTCTGCCCTGCACCCACGTACAAGTATATGCTTTAACAGGAATCACACAAGGGTAGATTGATACAATAAAAACTTCTGGTAAAATGCTCACTCGTAATCCAGCAGATAAAGTACTTTATGGATGGGCATTTTACAAGAGGTTTCCATTTTATCAATTTACCCTTATGTGATTCATGTTGAAGCATATACTCGGGTGGTGGGTGCAAGTGCAAGATGGATTGGAAATTTCGATTTTAGCCAGTTCTGACCAAAGCCCCAAGTGAAACTTTTCAGCTTTGATGCAATCGAATGGTATTTGACCTTCATAGTACGGACATAATTTGGATCGGAATTGGGTAGTATCTTAAAATTCTAATTATTTTTGACATGTGAAATATTTGTTCATGAATCATAACTCAATTGGCTTATCTAATTCCCATTTGTTATAGTTTACCTCTTCATATAGGATTACCTTGCGAGGACGAACGTATATGTCCAGGAAAGCTGCCATTAAGCTATTACCAAACTTAACAAGAGTATATCACTCGCAAGTTCATTGCTTCATACTCCAGACAGTTCGTTATACGTACCAAACTTGACATTCTTTATCTCTCGTTTATGATATAAAAATCAATGTCATGTTCCACAAGTATCATGCATCCATGTCTTACGTTTGATAACAAATATCAAATAGACGCTAGCCAGCCAATGATTCACATGGTATAGTGTGGTCTTCAAACTATCTTCCTTAAGCTTTCATGTCAGTCCAACTTGGTTTAATTGCTTGCCTATACATGCTTCTTGGGATAATAGCTAACTTGACCATCTTAGATAAACATGCAAAAGTAGCAATCATCAAATCTTATCCTTTTGATATAGGCTTTAGTCCAAAGGGTATTAAAGGTAGGATCACATAGATTCAGTAGGTCACACAGTGACTTGAAGTAGAGATCAATTCGTCACTCTCACTATCAGCCACAACTAGCATATACTGTCACACCCCGAACCTGACATACGTCCAAGATCGACGCGTGACATCACCTAGCATAGGTATATCTAACAGATCCCGCCTCCGGAATATGTACAAGGCCTAACTCAAGAACCAACTGCGTAATAATTTTTTTGTATGCTTTATGGCTGCATCTAACCTTCTCGTTAAACTGCCTACGTACCTTAAACAGGGATCAAGCCATTCGTAGTTCATCATTTCACTATACTCGAACATTCATCCCATAATTCGTTATATCTCAACAATATATTACAATGCATACCGTGCAATATTACAAAGAACAAACGACGGAGCACAATCATATTCACTAGTCACAATGGTCATCGAGTCTAATCATACTTATAATAACCATAACATCATTCCATAATCACATCAATCAATAATATCAACCATTGCATCATCAATAACACAAACAATTCATCGAAATGCAGGGCTAGAGCAACACAGTTCGGTCGAAGCCTACATCTTTGAAGCTGAAATCAAATCCAAGGAACCAAGACACCAAAGGGATTTTTAGACCACTCAACGGAATCTAAACCAGGATACGATTTCGGACCATCACTCAACGGAATCGCGGAGTAGAAGGGATTCTGGACCATCACTCAAGAGAAAGAAGTAGGGGGAGAGAGAGAGAGAGAGAGAGAGGAAATGGGGGATACGATTCCGGACCACTTACATTCATGAGGATTTGGCACACTTGTCAGAGGAAATGGGGGATACGATTCCGGACCACTTACATTCATGAGGATTTGGCACACTTGTCAATTGAAATCTATATATACCATTTTCATCAAAAAAATAAATTAGTGCAGGGAAAAGGGTGGGTGCGGAGGAGGAGGGGGATGATGGGTGCGCAGTGGGTTTGGGAAAGACGGGAGGGGGAAGAAAGGGGTGGGTTGCAGGGAAGGAGGGGTCGAGGAAGATGAAGATGGTTTTTTTTTTTGGGTTGCGGGTTGGGCTCGGGGGGGGGGGGGGAAGAGAAACTAGGGTTTGGGGAAGAAAGGAAAGGGATGGAAGGTCGTGGGTAGGGTGAGGGAATGATGGATGTGCAGAGGAGGGAGGGAGGGAGGGAGAAGGGAGGGAGGGAGAAGGGAAGGGGGAGAAAGGCAGGGGGAGAAGGGATGGTCAAGGTTGGGTTGAGATTTTTTTTAAGGGTAATTTATTATTTTATTAATATTTTAACAGAAAGTGGACTCTGTCTCAAGCCGCGTTAGCATTTAACAAAAAAATTGATAGATAACGGTATGACATTGCAACAAATTCGAAGATAAGGTATGACATTGAAACTTTTTAAAGACGAGGTATGAAACTGTTAATGACCCAATAATTAAGGTAATTTTATGTAATTTACCCAAAAAAATTAATTAAACTAGAATGCTTGTGCAAATTTACTAATAGAGTTTCATTATTTTCATGCAATATGGGGCTATGAGAAGGAAAATTGGAGGGACGTACAAGGATTTCTTCAAAGACTATGTTAAGGGTACGTAGCATTAGCAATTTCAAATATTCATATATTCTACAAAGAATTTAAGGAAAATATGCATAAAAAATGCTTACAAACGAGAACCGGAAGGACACTAGGTTAGTAAACAAGTTATGTTTGACGTGTTCGTGTCGTTTTCATGTTACACTCGTTATCTTAACAAGTCGTGTCGTGTTATATCTGTTATTTTTATATGAGGTGTTTTGATATAGGCTCCTTGTTTTTTAAGTTTTTTAGATTAAACATACACTCACTTTTGAAAATTTGATCATACATTTTCCTAAATTTTTGGTTATTAATTTTAGTTTTTCACATAATTCAATTTTGTTTAGAATTTTAGTTTTTCATGACTTCTCCTGAACATTTCGTTTTTTTTTTCCCTTCCTATTATCCCTATATTTATGCATTTATTATCCATCTCTATGCTTTTTTTATTTTATTGTTTGTTATAATTTTTACTTTTTTTTGTGAATATAGTAGAATATTTATAAAAAAATTGTCAGATTTTATTATTTAGAAGACCCAACACATACTAAAGATTTGTTTGATTATATAGCTACGTCTAGCTACCTATAATATGGACACATTTAGTTTTATAGTGGATTTGATTTTTTGTATTTATCGGTACATTTGAAATGTAAATAAACCAAAAGGGTTATCTGATAGAGACATTTGGTTTTGTGGTACACTTGAGATTTTTTGTACAGTTGGTCTTTTGTTATATTTGGAATCTAAACGTACCAAAAAGGTTACTTGACAATGGACACATTTCGTTTTATAGTACATTTAAAATTTTGGTACATTTGGTTTATCTGTACATTTGAAATCTATACATACCAAAAGGGTTACATAACAATAGTTACATTTGGTTTTATGGTACATTTGAATTTTTGGTACATTTGGTTTCTCGGTTCATTTGAAATCTAAACGTACCAAAAGTCGATATTTTTATTCCCAAATGTACCATAAGTTTTAAGTATATTTTTTTTATATATCTATATGTGAAAAAAATATGTATTGAAGACTTTTTATTGAGACATTTTTAATAGAAGGAGAATTTTTTTTTAAATACTAATAATAAGGAAATGAGGAATTAGTTAATTATTTTTTTTATTTTATTTTATTAAAAAAATATCATTTAATGGGGATTGACGAAATTAAATTCCTATATTATAGGCAATTAGTTGCTAAGCTATTTTATGTCTCTATATAAATGCATTTAAATTAATGACATGGAAATTAAATAAATAGAAAATTATTGAAGTGACAATTGATCAAAGCGCCTTAATCAAATCTTTAAAAGGGATAAAAGTTTAATCTAACAACTATAGAAAAGATGTAAGGCATTCTAATTTTCCCCTTTTATATCGTTTCAGTCAAATAAACGGATCATATAAGAAATTGCTAAACCTACACTAAACACTCAATAAAAAAACTATTTTTTAATGCATTTAAGTTTTATTTTGTAATTGGTCGTGTTTGTGTGTATTTTCTTTAAAAATATTTGTTGAAATAATTTTGCTAATTTGGATAATTGTTTTTTACTTGAAATGAGTGGATGGGCAATATGTGGAGGAGGGGTGGATGGACAAAACGTGCCAGGTTTGCATATCGATGATGTTAGAAGTTGGCCATATGGTCCGTCTTTCTAATAATTCTACATGGTATTAAAATCAGAGAGTAGGCCCGTACTGTACAGCCACGTGATGGATGGATCCCTTGACCCCACTCGATGATAGTGGGTCCCTTGGCCTCGCATGTAGGATGAGTCTCCTTAGCTCTATATGATTGCCAATGTGTGGATCTCCCACGTATGACCCACTAATTGGGTCTCACATGAGGGGACGTGTTGAATTCCACATCAGTCGTAGTAAAAGATAAGTAATAGTTTAAATATCCTAACTCCACTCTAACTAATACCGAAGTTTTTTATGACAAAACCCCATACATGACGGATTGTGCTTATGGTAATTATCAAGTTGAGGACAATATCGATGTTATTGAAAGTGGATAGTATGACTTGTTTCACTGATAATTCTACAATCGCACACTCACTTTTTGAACAATTATTATCTTTTAAGCACGAATCTTATCTCAAAATCAAAAGCTAAGTAGATAATTCACACAAAGCCTTTTAACTCACTTTTTGAACAATTATTATCTTTTAAGCAGGAATCTTATCTCAAAATCAAAAGTTAGATTAACAATTCACACAAAGACTTTTAAAGTTGGGTCTCGTGGAAGAAATAATTGTCGGATTCTGAGTAAATGGAATTCTTCATCTTAAACTTTAATCTGATATATAATTTAACCAAAAGATAAAAAAAAAAAAAAAAATGTGTTATCCACACACTCTATTTTACTTTTCACACACCTTGATAATTTATGTTCATTTCAATTCATTCAAACCACGGTCGAAAATTAAAAAAATATGTAAAAAGTAAAATGAGATACGTGTATATCACTACCCTAAAGAAGACACATTCAGAAAAACTGCTTAGTTTTTAAGATTCCTGATCATTGCAGTTTAAAAATCAAGTGATTCGTTTCTGCTTCGCTGTTTAGAGGTCAGTCCCCCCGCTGCGCTCTCTCTGAGAAAACTCACTTACTTCTTCATTGGCTCTTGGAATTTGACCTAAAAGAAAACTGGTTTTTTTTTTTTTCTCTTCTTTCTTTAATTAAGAAAATTGGGTGATTCAGTTCTCCGTTTTTGGAAAATTTTGAAGAATCAGGTGCTTGTGGAGAACGTGTGAGTTAATTTTTGAACTTTTTTAAAATACCATATAACTGCAAACTAATTAGGCAAATGGGTCGCAGAAATTCACTGCAAAAATGCTCCGCAGAATGTTGATTCTAACAAAATTGATAGAACCGAGTGGAAGTTTGTAAGACCCATTTGCAGGAAGGAAATGGGTGCTCTGTAGAAATTGAAATGATAGAAAATTGATAGTTCTCATCTGCAACCGCACTCCTTACACCCCGTCTCTTTCCCCAACCCTTCTTCGCCAAATGACGCACCAGACCTCTCTCCCCAGTCCCCACAGCCAAGGAGCAACCAAATTCAACTCCAATATAATAAAACTTAGACAAAATTCTAAATCCACCAAAAACAAAAACCCCCAATAATTACATATTTTTTCCAATGCTATGCTTTGAATCAATTGAGAACACAGAGAGAACCAATTTTCTGGGTTTTTTTTCAAACAAATACAAACTGAGAATCGAAAATTACTCGTAGTTGTTTTAAAACTTACCAAAGTTCAATATAATTTCTTTGTCAATAATTTCACAAAAAATTTGTCCCAACCTGCAGATCCGCAGCAAAAACAAAAACAAAGAGCTTAAATTTCTTGGCCTAGAGATAGCAAAATGAGGATAAAACATTGAGAACAAACTAACCTTAAAGTTCTTGCCCCGACGATGGCAAGATGAGAACAAAACGCCGAATAGCAAAGGATTCAATACCGGGAGAGACTGGAATCCAAATCCAAAAAAAAAAAAAAAAAAAAAAAAAAAAATTCAAACGCAGGATCTCTTGTGAGACTATTTTGCGAAAGTAAAAGAAGGGATTTGAGAGCAAAAGACGGGCTGACGAGAAGGGTAATGTGGTGAAAAACGAAGAGGAAGGGTAAAAGCGAAAAAGAGACGGTCGAAGCAGAGAAACAAACGATGAAAGACGCGTGGCTGGGAAGAGCACAGCCGACTTTCCACTGTAGAAGTGGAAACAGTACACAGAGCAAAGAAGAAGTCGAGGGTATTTTCGCCATTTCACTTTTAATGAAGAGTGCCAGAAAATTGAATTTTAGTATTTGTACCACTAGTAAAAGTGTCCGCGCATTGCTCCGGGTGTTTAAAATATTTTGATAATATGTACATACAGGAAACAGAATTTATTGAAGTTAAATTTATATACATAAGATGGAGATTGGCAGTGTGCAATTCCTCACTGTTGTAAAGACAGAGATGCTGTGAAAGCTATATTCATGTGCAGAAGTTCATAGTATCAAAATCCTTCAAATACGAAAAATATCCATGTCCATATCAAAAGCTTGGCACCGCACATCTGCTCAGTGTTTATGATTTTTCCTGGTCAATCTTTTGGTCTTGCTTGTTTGGGAATGACCATCGTTTTCTTGGTCATCATGTTATTTTTTGCTTTTGTCCAGAATGTTTCTCTTGCTATATATTAAGAATTGGAATCAGTAAGAATTCAATATAAAAAACTAAAATTTTTCAATCTATTTAACCAATGAATTGACGGAGGAGCGAAAAAGAGACACAAAAAATAAAGGCCATTATTTAATTATATGGAGAATTACTTGATACGTACAAAAGGTTTGAAAATTAAACTAACATTAAAAAAAAAAAAAAAAAAAAAGAGATGAGATGGAGTGGAAATCACATACCAACATCAAGCTTAAAATTGTAGTGCTCATTTGTAGTGCTATCTGCAATTACTCTTATCAGGAACTTCTGCACTGGTTGATGTCTTGGTCTTTTCCTTAGCTGTATGTACATTGTGGACTTGGGTAGATGAGAAGCAGAAGAAAATAAAAATGTAAGTTAAAGTTACAACTTAACTATCTATGTTGCTTCATGTCCAACACATAATAACAATAGCGAATCATTTTTCATCTCATCTCATGCACTAGTTTGTCATTGTCACTCGAATTCACAAATTCATTTACTCCGAATTTCTTAGTTATGGCCAGGGAAAGAATGTTTAAGCAAAAATATGTTTCTATGTTTTCCCACTAAATTACCTGTTAAACCAAATCCAAGCGTCAAAAATAAAAAATAAATACCTTCGTCAAACCTCTTGGGCTTCAAGTCCACCGAATCCACCCCAATACTCAGTGGCGCCTCATAAATTCTTCCACCTTTAGTAGCCTAGATCATGCATGTATCAGTATAAATACGGAAAAGAAAATAAATGCAATTTATTTGAACAAAGAATTTGGGATCAACAAAGTTTGTCCAAACTTACAGCGAGGCCAATGAACAACAACTGAGGATAATTTTTCGTTTTGCTACATTGAGAGGGGAACCCAAACCTGATATTAAAAAAGAAAATATTCAGTATAATGCAAACGATTCAATATGTAGTATCAGTTGAGGATACATAATTCAAGGCTCTAAAGCATTGACTATGATACCAAACCTGTTGGCATGGCACAACTAACGATGCAAACTTTGTCCAACTGAGTAAGGGGCTTGATTTTGGAAAGACGACCAGAATGAACAACAATGCATTCACCCAAAGTAAATGCGCCTGGAAAACTCTACTCATAGTTTACAAATATGCAATTCTCAAGGCTTCATCATATAAAATCATATATATATATATATTATGTATCTTATATGTATGCAGTAGCTATTATTGCTGAGCTTCGGTAGAAGTAGAGTTCAGTCTGATAAATTGAGGTATATTTGACATTTACCCTTATTTCCATGGCCTTTGGTGGAGCAACCTTCACCCTCTTTATTACCAACAACTTCCGTGCTTCCCATGCAACTGCTGTTGCAAAATCTACAACACAGAAATCCCAAATTGAGGAGTATTAAATCTCTATAAAGACATGCGAAATGAAGAACAATGGACCTAGCGGGCAAATAAGCTGATTGGTGTTCATAAAAAAGATATTTTAGTTTTAATTACCTTGTATTTGAGAAGAGGTTCAGAACTCTCTTCAATTTCTTTTGGTTCTGGTTTGGCTTCAGGCCTAGTCTCCATTGTTGCCATCGACAGAAGACGAGCTCTTAGGAATAGAAATGGACATGAATGGAGCTTGATATGATCTAATTATGAAAACATATACCGATCAAACATAAAATTTTAAGGTGCACGGACGAATTTATCCTTCAAAATTATCTAAATATGTTGAGAAGAATATACATTTTTACATATTTTCTCGACAACCAAACAACATATTTTGTCGCCGGTGTTCAGACGGAAACAATTCGTCAAAATTTGAAAATCAAAACCCTAAAACCTTAACACTTGAGATCGATTCGATGAAGTGTGAGAGAATTTGTAGAATTTTATATGTTAGTTTGAGGGTTTGAGTTTGTTTTCTTCTTTTATGCAAAGAAAACTTCAATCAAATGCCAAATAACTCCACTATCTTACCTGATGACAAATCGGTGAGAGAGCTTTTGGGTAAAAGGGTCGGAGAGGGTTTTAAGCTAGAATCTGGTGATGCTAGGGTGAGTCAAGATATTGTTGTAGTTCGGTTGTCAGCCGACGACCAAGATTTCTTCATGGGTTTTCCATCCAGATGGGTTTGTAGTGCGGCTGCGGTTGAGATTTGTTAAGGATGAAGCAGTGAGAGAGAGAGAAACGGTGATTATGAGAGAACGTAGAGGCGCGGAAAATGAGGATTATGAAGGGAATTGAGGGGCGACATTGATCGCACTTGTTGGAATCGAAGGCGAGATCGCGACAGGGATGCAGGGAAACATGTGAGGGGAAGTCAGGAAAGAAAACGGAAACAAAAGGGCAAAATGGCAATGAAAAACATCTAGAACAATCAAAGCCAAAGCAAAGAGGATGAAAGACAAGTAGAACCAAAAGTACAAAACAGTCATATTACTGTAGAAACTCAGCATTAAAACGAAGAGGAAGAAAAAAATAAGGGGCATTTTCGCCATTTTACTGTTAATGAATAGTAACTGCAACTGAGTTTTAGTATACATAATATTATATAATTAGATTCCGACCAATTATGAGCAAAAATATTTCAAGATATTTCGTCGGATACAAATCCAAAACTAAAATTCCAAAATCCAAGAAGAAAAAAAATTGGATAGGAATTGGAATTATTTAATATTCGGAATCCGATCCGAAATTCCAAACATACATAACTCTATTACATACACTTAATTATGTACTATTGACTTTGAATTTGTAATACAATGTACTCAAATATGTAACTATTTTGTCAATTACAACTCCCTTGAATGTATTACATATGAACAAATGAGTATTTGAGAACAACAAAATCGGAGATGGCATATCTTTTAGGGAAATTGTCAAAAATGACTCATTTTCTTAATCTTATGGCTGAAATAGGAACCATCCATGCACACCATGCTAGGGGTGGGCGCGGTGCGGTTCAGTGCGGTTTTGAGTGAAACCGCAACAGAAACCGAAATTTTTTGCGATGCGGTTTGAAGCCAAAACAGAAATGAAACCAAACTGTTTGGTTCGGTTTGATGCAGTTTCAAACGGTTTCGGTTCGATTTTTGAGGGAAAAAAATGTACAATTTAAAATATACACCTATTTGCAGGTTTTTAATGCACCACCAGCACCCTGCAACTGCCATATGCTTCTCTCACTCTTTATCTCTTCCTTCCTTAAATATTGATCCATGACATCCCCAATTTTCGTCTCACTGCTTTCACTACACCATCTGTCCTCAATTTCACCATCATCATTGTCAATAAATATATCCTCCTCAGCAGTCAGTCCTCTTCAACTTCTTTGTTTTCTTCATTTGCTAAATAATTCTATATATAGTTGATGCAGCATGCAAGAAAAATATAGTGTTATGTGTATATATAATTACCTTATTGAAATAGTTATTGTGATGGTGGCCCAATTTCACTCAGAGAAGAAGACTACTTACTGCTTACTGCTGCATCTGCATGTATGTAGGAACGTATGTTTTGGTTGGTCTCCTGAATCTGATTGAGCCACGCCAATATTGTTGTGAATGAGGACAAGAACTTTCTGGTGCACTGGGTTGACTTTGAGAAGCAAAGGGCTCTTGTTTTTATGGAGAAGATGTTCTTCTTCCAAATAGAGGTAATGGACTCCCTTATCTGCCAAAGCAATTTTCACTCTCATAACATAAGGACTTGTCCAGAATCCCACAAGTGCAGCAAAAATAGCAACAACAATGCAGTAAAACTGCAGCAAAAACATTCAATATATGGTAAGGTTTCGGTTTCGGTGCGGTTTCAAAAACCCAAAACTGAAACCAAACCGTTTTCTTTGCCACGGTTCGGTTTCGAAATTGCAACCGTTTCAAAACCGCAAAACCAAATCGTTCGGTGTAGTCCGATTCGATTCGTGTTTCTATTCCAAGTGCCCACCCCTACACAGTGCACAAAAGCAAAATAACGAAAATACTCACATATAAAATGTAAAAACTCATAAGTGATGACTTCATTTTTCTGATTTCAAAGTAAGAGATGTGAGCTTTGGATTTTTGGATTTTGAGCTCAGATCTGTGAGCATATCATGTGCATGTGATGTGCATCTCGTGTGCTTATAGTGTATAGTTTTCTAGAAAATTGAAGGCAAAGCCAAGAAACCTAATAGCAATAAAACATACGAACCCACAAATTAATACTCATAAATATTGCATTTTGAAATCAAAACCCATAAACAAACCTTAAAAAAATTATTTCCCAAATATCGTAAAGAAACCCGCTTCACTCATAGTGGGCTTTGGCTCATGTTGATTCATCTAATCCCATCGTGCCTTGAAACCAAGAAGTTAAAAGAAATTGGCAAGAAGGTTATGAGTTTGGAAGTGCACTCTACACTTGCGACTTTTATGAGAGCTTTGGTGGATGCATTATTATCCATTACATACCAAGCTTTAGGGATTATGAGTTGGGAATTGTACTGCCACCCAACAGTTAGATGCGATATGAATCTTGGGTTACTAGTTTGAAAAGAGATGCGAGAGGGAACTGGTGAAAGGATGACCATTGGTGAGAGAGAAAGGGTTACCGCGGGTGAGGTGGGGTGTTAAAGGGTGAGTGCATCGTTAGGGTTCTTTCGAGAGAGAGAAATCAGAAAATAGGAGGAAATAACCCATCTATATACGAGGGCAATTAGGTCATTTTCAGTTGTAGGCAAAATCTTATTTATGTCTTATTGTTGTGCATGATGTGTGCATGCTCTATGCATATTAAGTTTGTTCTATTTCAATCCTAAGATTAAGAAAATTGGTCATTTTTGAAAATTTTCCTATTTTTTATCTTGGTATGGATGAAGTCATACAACTCCCATAAGTTTGAAATTCTAAAATAATACGATTCCGAAAATACCAAACTTGGAATGAGTTTATGAAATTTTGAAATTCCGATTCCAAGATTGGAAATGATAGGCGTTTCCAAAACTTTTTGGATTGGAATTGGACACATATTTTTGATCCGATCCGACAAAAAATCAGGCCTAGGAGAGTGTTTGTGGCAACTCAGACAGACAAACTGTTAGTTAACAGTATCTTTCTTTCTTTCTTTCTTTCTTTTTTCTTTTTTGGAACCATATCTTTGTATTTCTTTCCAACACAGTTGATCACAACACAGGAATGGGATACTATTCAACACAGGGAATTTAATCAACACAGTTGGTCACAACACGAGTGGGATACTTTTCAACACAGGAACAAGAGTGGGAAACTCTTCCAACACAGGAACAAGAGTGGGAAACTCTTCAACGCAGGGAATTTAATGAGTCTTTACGAAGTTTATCATAAAATCAATTGACAATATAAGGTGTAGCTTAAACTTTTATAAATTATTATAATATTTATCTTTTAACCGACCTAGACTCTTTTACTTTTATATTTCTATGCATAAAAAGAGAAAAACAAGAGCTAGTTAGGAAATTTTACTTTGTGGTCCCCCTTGTGCAACATACATTGCTGTTCACTCTAGGGCCAACGCTGGTGTTGTCTTGAGTCAAAATCTTGCAATTTTCATCTTCATCAAAAGCATATATATAACAATTATCCATCGTTGTTTTTGTATATTATAATATCGATATTTTCATAAAAAACTGATATTTAAAACCTTAAGAATCCTAATTAATTAAGCGCAAGGGGAGATGCTGATGAAGATGTCCATGATCCTTTTGTTGTTTCTCTCCATGCTTAGTTCGCTCAGTTTGATCACCAGTAATGAAACTGGTGAATTTTTAGACATTATCTGCCCAAACACAAACACTTTCACCTCCGACACAGGCTGGCACTCTCCCTCCACCGATAGCTTCCAATCCAATCTCAACAAAGTCCTCAACACCCTTACCTCCCCCGCTGCCCATGACACTGGCTTTTACAACATCACGGCGGGCTTAAATTCTACGGAAAAGGCCTACGGCCTCTTTCTCTGCCAAGGATATGTCTCTGCCGACGTTTGCAAAGATTGCGTGACTGCCGCAAGCATAATGGCAGCTCAACGCTGTCCCTCGCGAATAAATGTAATTGTATGGTACGACTACTGCATGCTACGCTACTCAAACGAGTCCTTATCCACCTTGTGTGAATCGCCGATAGTCAACTGGCGGAACACGCAGAATGCAACCGAATGGAATCGGTTCAACCAGGTGCTGGGGGAGAGTATGAACGAGGTGGTCACCGAGGCCACTGTTACTGCCAACAAGTTTGCAACGAAACAGGCAAATATCAGTAGGTTTCTTTCTGTGTACAGCCTCGCACAGTGCACATGGGATCTGTCTGCAGTGGATTGCAACCGGTGTTTAAAGCTTGCCGTGGCGCTATTGCCGAGCTGTTGTGAGGGAAGTGTAGGGGGACGAGTTTTGATGCCGAGCTGTAACATTAGGTTTGAAATTTATCCCTTTTACCTCCAAAACGCCACCTCAGCACCGGCGACTGCACCGAAGGCTCTTCCTCCTCCTGCACCTAAAGGTACCAATTGATTTTATAATGCAAATCATGTTCAAAGTTTCCAATGAATCAATTTCTAAGAAGCTGAAATTTAATAGATTGTAAATCGATCAAAATTGATGGAAATGCCGGATAGAATTAAAAACCAAACTCCAGCCATACCCCACCAAAGCACGGTCTGCTTTTCACAAAAAAAAAAAAAAAAAAAAAAAAAAAAAAAAAAAAAAATTGGTTCAACAATGAGCAGCAACTTGTGATTGTTTTCGCACTGACCGACATTAATGATTAATCGCGCTGTAATGGAATTGGATCCACTCTGGATATTAGTGTCTAGAGTACAAGGATCAAACAATCCAAGCTACACAAATTGAAACTAAAGGTTTTCGTTAACTCATCTTACTGACCTATCTCACACAAACCAACGATTTCGATTTCTTTGTCACACAATGTATGATCCAGATTGTTTAATCTCTAGACTCCGAACATCAAGGTCCAGAATGAATCCAATTCCGTAATGGACTATAGCACATACTTTGCGAAGCATCCACACTAGCTAGCTGAAGCCAAACTTGTGGTACTTTTGACTTTGTGGCATGTTTTTCTCATGTATCACACAGTATGGTTGACTCCAGGGTCAACGAGCCAAGCTTACAATTGCCATCTAATTACCTGAATTAATAACTAATTGTTAACTTCTGAATATAAGATCAACATTTCTAATTAAGGGCAAGGGGGGGAGAAGATGAAGAATATGTCTACTATCCCTTTTCTGTTTCTCATGAGTTTGATCACGAGTAGTGAAAGCAGTTCGTTACTTCGTCCATGACTGCCCAAACACTACCACTTTCACCCTGGCTGAAGTATTCGAATCCGACCCCGATAGCTTCCAGCAATATAATCCCGGTCAACTTCTCCAATCCCTTGCCTCCAACGCCACATGTACTGTTGAGTTTTGGTTTTAAATTTTGTATTGTATATCTCATTCTCATTACAAGAGTGAAAGGCAACTCTTATAGAGAGCCGAAAAGAAGACTACAAGAGGAAGGCTAACAACCATACCTCACTACCAAATCAATCCTAACAAGTGGACAAGACAAATATTAATAACAAGTAGAGAGGTTCCTAGAAACAAGGAAGAAAGATTGACAAAAGACCTAAGTGAGTGACAAGGTATGGAAGACTAGAGTATGGTTGAGAGAATCACTTTAACCCATACTTAGCTAGAGTGATGTTTACAACCTTACAGCTTCAAGAACTGAACTGAGCTTCAAATACCAAGCTCTAGGGAACTATTTGAGACCATATATGGCTTTATGAAGTCTGTATACCTTGTTGGATTCCTTTTCTCTTGGATGACCTTGAGGCAACTTCATGTACACTTCTTCTTCAAGCTCCCCATGAAGAAATGCATTATTCACATCCATTTGGAATAAGGGCCATGCATTATTGATTGCCACAGATAACAATACCCTCACAGTATTCATTTTAGTAACTGGAGCAAAGGTTTCCTTGTAGTCAATGCCATATGTTTGTGTAAAACCTTGAGCTATTAATTGTGCCTTATGTCTTTCAATGCTTTCATTGAAGTTGAACTTGGTCTTATATATCCACCTACTTCTCACTGCCTTCTTGCCCTTTGGAATATCCACCACGCTCCATGTCTAGCTGTCATTCAGAGCTTGGAGCTCTTGAGTCATGACATCTTGCCACTCAGGCATGTATGAGGCTTCATGAAAATTCCTTGGTTCAAAAGTGTTGGATAATTTGTTAAGAAAAGAAGCATGAGATGGTGAGAATCTGTGATAAGAAATGGTTGCAGAGATAGGATGCCTTGTAGTGTAAGTAATGTACTCTTACAACCTTACTGGTGGATGTCTATCTCGTGTAGGATTTCTCCTTGGTGCACTTATAGCTTGTTGAGTTGGTTCAGGTTCAAATGGTCTTGAGGAGCTAGGTATGCCCACTTACACTCTCAGTGGGGTGAGAATTCTCAGTGTTGGTATGAGCAGGATTGACTTCATTAACTTCTGCTGGAGTAGGCAGTGGAAATAGGTCCATAAGATCTTCCCTATTGTGATTAGTCTCCAAACCTTTGTGGAAATAAGGTGAATATTCATCAAATCTAACATCTCTAAAGACTGTCTGCTTCCCAGTATTAGGATTGCACACTTTGTAACCCTTTTGAGAATTGGAGTATCCCATAAACACACATTTGACAGCTCGAGGGTCGAGTTTATCACGATGGGAAGCTTGAATATGCACATAACAGGTGCAACCAAAGGTCCTGAGGTGAGACAAGTCTATATACTTGCCCTTCATGACTTCGAAAGGAGATTTAGTATTCAAAACACGAGTTAACAATCTATTAATGATGTAAATAGCAGTGAGTAGGGCTTGAGACCAAAATTTCTTGGGAACATTCATTTGGATCATAAGTGGTCGAGTCTTTTCCAACAAGTCTTGATTTTTCTCCCTGCCACACCATTTTGTTGTGGAGTACCAACACAACTAGTTTGATGTAAAATGCCATGAGTGCTCAAGTAACTACTCATGTTATTGGAAGTGTACTCAGTGCCATTATCTGATTTTAATATATATAACTTAGATGAGAAATAATTTGTGACTAGGTTGTGAAAGTCTTTAAAAGCATCAAACAACTCACTTTTAAACTTTAAAAGATATAACCAGGTCACTCTAGTATAGTCATCAACAAATGTAACATAATATATGTACCCATCAAAGGATTCTACACAAGAAGGACCCTAGATATCTGAGTGAATAACTTTAAAAAGTCTACTGGTTCTAGAATTAGAGGAAACAAAAAGAAGCCTAGTGGCTTTTAACATTTGACAAGTTTCACACTCAAGTGTGTTTATACAAAAAATGGGAAACAGTTTGGTCATCACAGGTTCAGAGGGATATGCAAGACGTTGGTGCCAGAGTTGATGTTCCTGAGCTTAACTTAGGCTGACACTGAGTTTTTTGAAAAATTTGGACTCCTGTGAGAGGTAGTAAAGTTCATTTAAGAAGAACCCTTTCACCAATCTGCTTTTGTGATACTCAATCCTAAAACACAACATTGTGAGGGCAAAAAATGGCAAAATAGTCTAAAGTTTTAGTGATTCTTCCTATGCACAAGAGCTAAAAATGAAAGGAAGGTACATAGAGGGTTGTGGAATCAGTATACTCATTCAGCAATCTAACCTTCCCCTTCCCTAGAATAAGTTTCCGTTTCCCATTTACAACAAACACATGAATTGGATCACTAGGTTTTTGAAATTCATGTAAACTAGAGGATTTATTAGTTATATGATCAATGGCACCTGAGTCAATAATACAAAAATCATGTGTAATATTAGCATTAAGAGTAGTGGAAATAACACTGATTATACCTGGAATATTGCCTTTCGATGTGTTCTTTGAGTCAGCCAAGAAACCAGCAAATTTCCCTAGCATTGCAGTAAAGTTTTCAATCATTATTTCCTCATGCTCAGTGTTTTCTTACTTCTTTTGAAGAAAAACTGCAAACTCATTGATCAAGGAAAAGAGGTTTGTTGAGAAATTTGACATCATATCAGCTGAGGAACAAGCTAAGTGAAAGGTTTTTAGAGTGACTTCCTTCACATCTTTGATCATTTGGCCTTCCCTATCAGACTTAGGTTTTAACTCTGGATGTAGGATCCACCATTTTTCTCTCAAATGTCCCTTTCATGTTACAATAAGAACATTTCCAGCTTGCTTTCTTCCTAAGCACTTTATCACTAGTTAATGTGATTGGTTGTGAAAATCCTAGCCTCAGAGTGAGATTTAGGCTCAACATTTATCACCCTTCGTCGAGTTTCTTCTCTCTGGACTGCATGACACACACCGATAAATGAGGGCAGCTCTGGAGTCATTAACAAATGACTACGTAGGTCTTCATACTCAGCTCCCAAGCTTGCCAAGAGTTGAAACACCTTGTCTTCATCAGTCATCTTCAGAAGCATAGCAGAATCAGTCCTGTGTTGATAGTACGTATCAAATTCATTCCACATGGATTTCAAACTTCCAAGATGTTGAACAAATGAGTGGTCACCTTGCTTCAAACTAGTCACATTCTTCTTTAGTTGAAAGATGTGAACTGAATTGTTTTGGCTACCATACATGTCTTTGACAGACTCCCATAGAAGAAGGGAAGATTCTGAGTAGCTGAAGAGCTCAGACAACTTTGGCTCTATGAAGTTAAGTATCCAGGACATGACCAGCTGGTCAGTAGCGTGCCATGCATCATAAGTTGATGAAGTGGATTCTAGAGACTTCGAGCTTCCATTAATAAACCCTAGTTTTGATATTCCTCCTAGAGCAAGCGACACAGCTCTGACCAAGGTAGATAGTTGAACTCGTTCAGTAGCATGGAGCACAATCATTGATTTGGGTTGTTCTCACCCTCTTGAGTTAAGTTGAAGGGTGAAGATGGGGAGCTATCAGTACTAGAAACATTTCTTCTGCCATCTCTTTCGATGATGAGCAAACGAAGAAGGAAAAAAAAAAAACGAACAGAGTCAGGACCATATGGTTCTTGCTCTGATACCATGTTGAGTTTTGGTTTTAAATTTTGAATTGTATATCTCAATCTCATTACAAGAGTGAAAGGCAACTCTTATAGAGAGCCGAAAAGAAGATCACAAGAGGAAGGCTAACAGCCATACCTCACTACCAAATCAGTCCTAACAAGTGGACAAGACAAATATTAATAACAAGTAAAGAGGTTCCTAGAAACATGACAAAAGACCTAAGTGAGTGACGAGGTATGAAAGACTAGAGTATGGTTGAGAAAATCACTTTAACCAGTACTTAGCTAAAGTGATGTTTACAACCATACTTGTGACATTTGCTTTACAACCATACTTGTGACATATGCAAGCAACTAGCACGAGTATTCGGTTTGTTTCAATACGTACTGACACCAGCTTTTACACTGCCACCGCAGGCCGAAGCTCAACTGAAAAGGCCTACGGGATGTTTCTATGTCACAGTGATGTCTCTACCGGCGTTTGCAAAGAGCGTGGCCATCACAAACGTGTAGGTAGCACAACGCTGCCCGGGTGGAAAGGAGGTTATCATATGGTTCGAGGAGTGCATGGTACGCTACTCAAATAAAACGTTATGTTTCTCCATGAACATTTTGCATTCAGCGGGCGATTGGTATGGGGATAATAAACCAACAGGATATAGCCAGGTAGTCGCAACTAGTGTGCATGAGCTAACCACTGGGGCTGCCAATAAAGGGTCAAATGAGACTGTGTACAGCCTTGCGCAGTGCACGCAGGACCTCTCCGCTTCAGATTTCAAATGGTGTCTAGCAAAAGCTACAGAAGAATAGTTTCAACGGTATCCCAGGGGGGACGATTTCTATATCCCAGTTGTAGTGTTCGGTTCGATGATGCCCTCTTTTAAGCGATCAATTGGACAGCCGCACAGCATCCTCCCACGCCAGAGGCTCTTCCTCCTCCTAGTACTCTACTACTATATTCACGTTCATCACCCAATGATGATACCTATCGGCAAAGTAGCTTGTGCACATAAAAAAGTCATCATGCACTCCTCTACTACGAATATGAGGAAGAAATTGTATACTGATGAGAGTACTAATAACAGTTCTTTTGTTAATTTGTTTTTTATATTTTTAAATCAAGATTTAGATATACGTAGGACCTATGATCTTATCAGCCATTAGATAGATATTAAGTGGATAAGAATAAGTATTATAAAGGGGAAGAATAAGTATTCAGAAAAATGAACATGAAATATTAATCGTCTTTGTTTTGATGAATGTGGAAGGCATGTGAAAATGAACATGACATTATTATTGTTCTTACTGCAGGAAGAAGGAAACACTTCTCTACAATTATCATTGTTGTCGGGTATGTTGGCATTGCTCTTCTAGTTTTCTCTCTAGTTCTTGTAGCATTGGGTTGCTGCTTTCCGGGCAGAAGAGAAGGAAAGAAGAATGACGAGGGTCTGCAACATCAAAATGGCAAACAGCAAGGTAAGGGAAAAGAACTCGTGAAACCTAGAAGTTACAATTGAAATTTTGGAGTTATTTTGATGTCTCTGGCATATGATCATAACTTTCTTTGCAATGCAAAAGATATGAGGACGGCTGAGTCCTTGCAATTTGATTTGGAAACTCTCGAAACTGCCACAAATAAGTTCTCCGAAGATAACAAGTTAGGCGAAGGTGGATTCGGTGCAGTTTTCAGGGTAATAACCCAACAAATATATAATGCATTAGTTCATGAGTCATTCTATTAATCCAACATTGTATAGTATTTTATGTTGCTTAGATCACAACAAAATTGTTGGATAAATTAAAGTACCTATATACCTTATCACAGGGAATGCTTACTAATGGACAAGAAATAGCAGTAAAGAGGTTGTCAAAAAGCTCCGGACAAGGTGTACAAGAATTTAAGAACGAGGTAGTACTGGTAGCCAAGCTTCAACACAGAAATCTTGTCAGGCTTTTAGGATTTTGCCTTGAAGGAGAAGAAACCTTACTTGTTTATGAATATGTGCCCAACAAAAGCCTTGATTATTTTCTATTTGGTATGTGAACATCATTTGATGAATATACATGTATGTTTGTGTCAGTAAATATAATTCTTTGTAGTTCCTAACTTCAAAATGTACTACTTGAACTTGATAAATTTACAGAACATAAAAAACGAGAACAACTAGATTGGTTGAGCCGCACCATGATAATTGGAGGAATTGGTCGAGGAATTTTGTATCTTCATGAAGATTCGAGGCTTAGAGTTATACATCGTGATTTGAAAGCTAGCAACATTTTATTAGACATCAACATGAATCCGAAAATATCAGATTTTGGGATGGCTAGAATGTTTGGAGTTGATGATCAAACTGAAGGAAATACCAAAAGAATTGTTGGCACTTAGTAAGTTTCAACATATACAAATACCTCTATCTAATATTAGTAATCTTACATTCCAATCAGTCGTTTCAACTTATGTACTTACCTCTATTATAAATAGATAACAGAATAGTATATGTTCGTTATGTAAACTCTTATATATTTCAACCATTTTGATCCTGCAATTAGTGGTTACATGGCTCCAGAATATGCTATGCAAGGGTTGTATTCAGTAAAATCAGATGTCTTCAGCTTTGGAGTACTTCTACTTGAGATCATATCGGGGAGAAGGAACTTTTTAGGCTTTCATCGCACTAATTGTGGACCTACTCTTATAGGTTATGTAAGTTCCTTACTTGGAATACTTATACAAAATATTCATGAGCTTAATTAATGTAGCTATCAAAACTGGAGGAGGACTTACATCCTTGAGAGATATTGATTGCAGGCTTGGCAATTATGGAATGAAACGAAAGGTTTGGAGTTGATGGATCCCTTGTTAAAAGATTCATGCAGTCCAAATGAATTTTTGAGGTACATCCACATTGGATTATTGTGTGTTCAAGAGGATGCAAACAACAGGCCGACCATGTCATCAGTTGTTCATATGTTAAAAACTGAAACTATTAGTCTTTCCCGACCTGAGAAACCAGCCTTCTTTACAGGGAGATATGTTGATCACCATGATCAAGTACGTTCTCAAGATTGCTCAGCCAATGGTTTGACGATTTCCATCGATGTTCCTCGTTGAGACCGATGACAATAAGGTTAATATCATTGGAAGCTCTTCCGTTAAAGGCACTTTGCTGCGTTAGAGATACTTCTATAATCTTTACAGCTTTTCTTTCACCTTGTCATTTGTATAGGGTAAATGTTAGTTACCACGCACTCCCTAATCTCGAATTTCCAGAATTTTTAATAACATATATATACATATATACTGTATATATACTACCAGTATGACTTGAGTGGTGTTATTTTACGTACTTATATGTTTCAAGTTAATTAGAATATTGGTCCCAGAACTTGTTACAATCTGTAACAATGATTCTTTTTTATGTCCAACTGTAGTTTGTAACTCGTCTTCGCCACTCATGGCTTGGAACCTAAAACGCAACCAGAATTATGTCGTTTATATATCCAAAACATCCAACAATCACCCATAGTTCCAGCTCCATTATTTTGGGTACTCAATATCTTAAAACAATTTTTCTTGTTATTCTCATTTTTCATAAGTAAAGTGCAACATGATGCTTACAGCAGGGAAGCCGCCGTAATCTCCAGGTTCTGTAATATCTTTCGTGACACAGCTCATACCAGCAAGCCGTACCTTCAAAGTCCATGTAATTATATTCAGAAATATTTGTTAATCAATGAAACAATGTGAGAGCACGAAGAAGAATAAAATATCAGTAGAAAAACTAAAAAAGAAAGTAACATCAAACTTCAAAACTCAAATGATATTTAAATCCTGCACTGAGTTCTTTAACAAGTGACAAGCAATGACTAATTTTGGCTACTACTAGATTGGGCCATTGTATGTAAGAAAATACCTTTGATATAATGGATACATGGTCACGAACTGCTACCCTCCCTCCCATAGTTACATAGTCTCCTATCCTACAATAGAAAAAAAAAAAAGGACAGCCATCAGATTTGGTAGATCTTCTGAATCATCGGCTAAGTTGTTGAAGTGAAAGTGAATCATGTTACAGTGGACATAAACAGAACTTACGTCACTGAGCCTGCAATCCCAACTTGTCCACAAACTATGCAATTGTTCCCAATAACTACATTATGACCAATCTACAAGAAACGAACAAACGGATAAATGTATGCTATTCCAGAAAATTACCCAAGAACTTAAAAAGCAAAAGTTAACCTGAACTAAATTGTCTATCTTTGAATGATCCCCTACAACGGTATCTCTCCAACTGCATAAACCAAACAATGTTATAAATTATTATTCAAACTTTAACAGAATCCAAGTACAAACTTATTCAGAAAATATAACCATGCATCTGAAATCAGTTGATATCCAAGGCTCTATTTCTAACCTGCCCTGTCAACGCACGTATTTGCACCAATCTCCACGTGGTTTCCAATACTAGCATTCAACATCTTGGGGATGAGGAAAAGAACAAGAAATACATACAATAAGATGCTTCGATTTCTACAGTTGGATGAAAATGCATACATAACCTCTTATCGTCATACAAGTCATATATATGAAGACACTCTTGCCCCAATAATGATTAATGCAATGTAACGAACTACTACGAAATTGAATATGTTGATCCTAAAGAACTAACATATCATGATTGCATTCAAACATTATCAGAGAAAAATATTCAAAACACAAAGAAAGAGAAAGAAAACAAAAGGACATCAATTCAAATACATAAAAGCATCACTAACTTGAGGCCTCTTTAACATATTCCCATGCTCATCCACCATAAATCCAAATCCTGTAGTTAAACAAACATCCCACCAAACATCACATTTTCCATCGCCACACATCAAACACTATTCACATCAAATCATAACTAAGCTGATTGATCCATATCAATATTCCCAAATGAGTGAAAGCCTACAATAAGTGGCCCTACCATCTTGACCGATGCATATGCCATTGTGGATTATGCACGGATCTCCTATGCTGCAATTATTGAGTGCAACATTGTAGCTGCAGAGATTATGGCCGTAGTTACTCTATCAAAATCAAGCAAAAATATTAACAAGGCAATGTAAAGTTAAAAGTTTGATCATTACCCAATTTTCGTTGATTGCCCAACTGTAACCGAAGGTCCAACGACAGCTCCAGAAGCAATACAAACATGTTCGCCGACAACGGATTTAGAATGAACAACAGCACCAAACTCTATGAAAACTGTTGGGTCAATGCAGGCAGACTTGTGGAAAATCCCACCTCCGTTCTTCCATTGTTGGAATTCTGGATGACTAGTTGGAGCACAGTCCTCTGATCTTGAAATACAAATCAAGTGCAGAAATGGCAGTTAATGAAAAAATAGGTGTTGTCTAAGAGACATTTTCACAAGCAGGTTCGGGGCATACCAGACGAAGCCGAAGACACGAAGGAACGGTAACTATTTCCAAAGCGCAACAGAGAGAAGCTTCGAACGAATTGGAGATGTGGCGAGTAGCAGAATGCAGCTGCAAGTCTTCTAAGAGCGCTTGCCATTAACTGAGGTCCGAGGAGGGAAAGCGAGCACTGCCGCCGGTTTATTTTGAACCGAAGTATCCACCGTGTTTGACCGGAAGGGCTTTTGTAATGCAGGGCAGTTTCGTCCGCCTAGATTTGTGATTTGAGTTGGACCAACATTAGGTGTTGGGCTTGAAAGTCCAAGCCGATAGATTATTTAGAACTTCTCTATCTAATGAATCAGAGTCTGCTTTGAAATCGTCTGCCCTACACCCACCTCCAAATATATGTTTTAACAGGAATCACACAAGGATAGATTGATACAATAAAAATTTCTGGTAAAATGTCCACCTGTAATCCAGCATATAAAGTACTTTACGAATGGGCATTTTACCAGAGGTTTCCATTTTATCAATCTACTCTTGTGTGATTCTTGTTGAAGCATATACTCAGGGGGTGGGTGCAAGTGCAAGATGGATTGGAAGTTTCGATTTTAACCAGTTCTGACCAAAGCTCCAAGTGAAAATTTTCAACTTTGATGCAATCGAATGGTATTTGACCTTCATAGTTCGGACATAATTTGGATCGGAATTGGGTAGTATCTTAAAATTCTAATTATTTATGACATCTGAAATATTTTGGGGTGTTCATCAATCACGCTGTGTGCTTGACTCTGGGGTCAACGAAGCAATGTCAAGTCATGCTTGCAATTTCCATCTAATTACCTGAAATAATCACTAATTATTAACCTTTGGAATATATGGCCAACATTCCTAATTAAAAGCAAGGACCCGGGGGGAGATACGGGGAATATACAGTGAAGCAGCACTGTTCGTTACTTTGTCCATTACAATTTAGGAGAGTGATTGTGGTAACTCAGACAGACCAACTCTTAGTTAACTGTATCTTTTCTTTCTTTCTTATTTTTCTTTTTTGGAACTATAAATTTTGTATTTCTTTCCAACGCAGTTGATCACAACACAGGAGTGGGATACTTTTCAACACACAGAATTTAATAAACACGGTTGGTCACAACACGAGTGGAGTGGGATACTTTTCAATACTTTTCAACACACAGAATTTAATAAACACGGTTGGTCACAACATGAGTGGAGTGGGATACTTTTCAACACAGGAACAAGAGTGGGAAACTCTTCAACACAGAGAATTTAATGAGTATTTACGAAGTTTATCATAAAATCAATTGACAATATAAATGATAGCTTAACATTTTATAAATCATTATGATGTTTATCTTTTAACCGAGGACTCTTTTACTTTCATATTTCTATGCATAAAAAGAGAAAAACAAGAGCTAGCTAGGAAATTTTACTTTGTGGTCCCCTTGTACAACATGCATCGCTGTTCACTCTAGGGCCAACGACCCGGTGTTGTCTGAGTCAAAGTCTTTTGCAATTTTCATCTTCACCGAAAGCATATATATAACAATTATCCATGTTTGTTTTCCTAAATTGCAATAACGATATTTTCATAAAAAACTGATATTTAAAACCTTAGGAATCCTAATTAATTAAGAGCAAGGGGGATGCTGATGAAGATGTCCATGATCCTTTTGTTGTTTCTCTCCATGCTTAGCTTGCTCAGTTTGATCACCAGTAATGAAACTAGTGAATTTATAGCCATTTTCTGCCCAAACACAACCACTTTCACCCCCGACGCAGGCGGATTCGAATTCAACTTCCCCGACAGCTTCCAAACCAATCGCAACGAAGTCCTCAACAACCTTACCTCTCCCGCTGCCCCTGACACCGGCTTTTACAACACAACGGCGGGCTTAAATTCTAGGGAAAAGGCCTACGGCCTCTTTCTCTGCCAAGGATATGTCTCTACCAAAGTTTGTAAACATTGCGTGACTGCGGCAAGCACAATGGCAACTCAACGCTGTCCCAACGGAATAAATGCAATTGTATGGTACGACCACTGCATGCTACGCTACTCAAACGAGTCCTTATCCACCTTGAGCGAATGGCCGGTCTTCTACATGTGCAACGTGCGGAACGCAACCGAATGGAATCGGTTCAACCAGGTGCTGGCGGAGAGTATGTACGAGGTGGCCACCGAGGCTACTAATACTGCCAACAAGTTTGCAACGAAACAGGCAAATATTAGTAGGTTTCTTACTCTGTACAGCCTCGCACAGTGCACATGGGATCTGTCCGCAGTGTATTGCAACCGGTGTTTAACGCTTGCCGTGACGGAATTGCCGAACAGTTGTGAAGGAAAGGAAGGGGGACGAGTTTTGATGCCGGGTTGTAACGTCAGGTTTGAAATTTATCCCTTTTACCTCCAAAACGCCACCTCAGCACCGGCGCCTGCACCGAAGGCTCTTCCTCCTCCTGCACTTAAAGGTACCAATTGATTCTATATTGCAAATCATGTTTAAAGTTTCCAATGAATCAATTTCTAAGAAGCTGAAATTTATTAGATCGTACATCGATCAAAATTGATGGAAATGCCGGATAGAATAAAAACCAAACTCGAGCCATAACCCACCAAAGTCCAGCCTGCTTTTCACAAAAAAAAAAAAAAAAAACTGGTTCAACGATGAGCAGCAACTGTATTCGCACTGACCGACATTAATGATTGATCGCGCTGTAATAGAATAGGATTCACTCCGGGCATTCGTGTTCAAAGCCTAGGGATCAAACAATTCAGGCCACACAAATTGGAACCAGCCTCACACTAATCAACAACTTCGATTTCTTTTCCACACAAATGTATGACTCAGATTATTTGATCCCTAAACTCCAGACACGAAGATCCAGAATGGATCCAATTCCATAATGGAATACAGCACATACTTTGCGATGCATCCACAATAGCCAGCTGAAGCCAAGCTTGTGGTACTTTTGACTTTGTGGTCCCTTGCATGTTTTTCTCATGTATCACACAGTATGATTGACTCGAGGGTCAACGAGCCATGCTTACAATTGCCATCTAATTCCCTGAAATAATCACTAATTGTTAAACTTCTGAATATACGATCAACATTTCTAATTAAGGGCAAGGGGGATATTCATTGAAGTTGGTTAGCTAGAATTATCTAAGCTAAGTAGTCCTTTGTAGAGAGGATTAGAAGGTTGTTTCTTAAGTCGATGAAAGGGTGTGTGTGTGATCAATGCACTAGAAAGTTCTAGTGAAAGTATAAGTTGGCAAACATGCGTTATAAATAGGTATGCATGTGTGTTGTAAGCAAATTAAGAAAGAAAGAAAGCAAGAATCAAGAGAGAGTTAAGTTAGAAAGTGAGAAGCCTTGTGAGTGAGTAGTCTTGTGAAGAGTGTGAGTGGCCTAGAGTTTGTCTCTAGAAAAGAGAGTGTCATAGCTTCTAAAGTGTGTCCTTGAGAGTTTGTGTTGTAATATTTTGTGAGGTTAATATAAGTAATTTGTTTACTTGTTTTGTATCTCCAACACTTGTATTAAAGTTGTGTACTCTAATTTTTTCCTCAACAATTGGTATCAGAACGGTACGACCAGGGACCGACTTTAGTGAAGTTTCGAGAATCGTGAGAAGTTTAGTACTTCGCAAGATTGTTAACTAATCTTGTTCAGCTTATCAAAGTTCTGCTAACACGATGGGAGATCTTCATGTTGTTGGAGGAATCAAGAAGTTGAACAACAAAAATTACAACATATGGGCAACATGCATAGAGTCTTACCTACAAGGCTAAGATCTTTGGGAGATCGTTGGTGGTAATGAAGTTATGCAGCCGGAAGAAGACACCAGTAGCACTTTGAGGAAGTGGAAGATCAAGGTAGGTAAGACCATGTTTGCCTTAAAAACCTCAGTTAAACCTCAGTTAAAGAGGACATGTTGGAGCACATAAGGAAAGCCAAAACACCAAAAGAAGCATAGAACGCCTTCGCCACACTCTTTTTAAAGAGGAACGATACAAGACTGCAGCTTCTTGAGAATGAGATGTTATTAGTGGCCCAAATGGACATGACGATTGCTCAGTACTTCCACAAGGTAAAGTCTATTTGCCGTGAAATTTTTGAATTAGATCCTAGTGCTTCCATTATAGAATCTAGGATAAAAAGAATAAGTATCCATTGGTTGAGACCAGAATGTCGAGGTTTCGTTGTTGCTATACAAGGATGGCCGACCCAATCATCACTTGTTGAGTTTGAGAATTTTTTTGTTGATCAAGAAGCTTTGGCAAAGCAAATGGGAGGGGTCTCGTTAAGAGGTGAGGAGGAAGCGCTCTACACCAATACAAGTAAAGGCAGCTTTAAGCAACGTGCTGGTAGTGGATCTATACAAAATGGTGACAAGGCGAAAGGTCATCAAGGAGGTGGGAGTTCTTGGCCAAGGGGAGCTCCAATGTATCACGGCAACCATGGTCAATCCCAGAATAAAAAGTTTGAGGGCAAGTGCTACAATTGTGGAAGGAATAGCCACATGGCGAAGGATTGTTGGTTCAAAAAGCCTGCAAAGAGTAACGCTACCACTTCGAACCCAAAGAAAAACAACTAGGAAGATTGGGACATTGAAGCATCGTTCGCTATGGAGAAGTAGTAGTCAGCTTTCACAACAACAAGTCCAGAGTTGATTGACTACGAGAATGATTGGATCGTGGATAGGCTGCTAAAACCACATGACAGGTGATGAGAAAAAGCTATAAAGTCTGACTGAGTACAAGGGAGGTCGATTGGTGGTAACGGCCAATGACTCGAGGTTACCGATTGCTGATATCGGTAAGACAATAATTATGCCCCAATACAAAACTAACCAGGTGCCACTTCAAGATGTCTACCATGTTCCAGGTATGAAGAAAAATATGCCTTTAGTGTCACAACTGACGTCATTAGGAAATTATGTCTTGTTTGGTCCACAAGATGTGAAGGTGTATCGACACCTCAAGATCTTAGGGACACCAACAATGAAGGGACGAAGACTGCAATCAGTTTATGTAATGTCAGCAGAAACTGCATACATAGACAAGGCAAGGAAGAATGAGACAAACACATTTATGGCAAATGAGATTGGGTCACATTAGCTATCACAAGCTAAATGTGATGATGAGGAAGTCAATGCTTAAGAGGCTACCTCAGCTTGATGTGAGAACAGACATGATTTGTGTAGGATGTCAGTATGGTAAAGCACATCAACTACCATACGAGGCATTGAAGTTTAAGGCAAAAGAATCGTTAGAGTTGGTTCATTCCGATGTGTTTGGGCCCGTCAAGCAACCATCGATAAGTGGGATGCGGTACATGGTGACATTCATTGATGACTTCTTCAAGTATATGTGGGTTTTCTTCATGAAAGAAAAAAAATCTAACACATTTTCAAAATTTAAAGAGTTTAAAGAGACAGTTGAAGGAAAAGTGTGAAAGAAGATCCATTGCATACGCACGAATAATGGGGGAGAATATATCTCGAATGAGTTTTCCAAGTGTCTACGAGAATGTAGAATACGCCACCAGTTTACTTGGGCTAACACGCCACAACAAAATGGCGTAACAGAAAGAAAGAACCGGCATCTTGCTGAAATATGTTGAAGTATGCTCCATGCCACGAATGTACCAGGAAGGTTTTGGGCCGAAGTTATGGGAACTGCAGCTCATGTGATCAACAAGCTTCCTCAACCAAGGTAAGAATTTGTCTCACCCTTTGAGAAACTGTGGGTATGAAACCTACAGTTAGCTATTTTCGAGTATTTGGTTGTGTATTCTATGTATTTGTTCCAGTTATTTACGTAGCAAGTTTGATAAGAAGGCAATTAGATGTATCCTTGTGGGACACGACAGCCAAATAAAAGGGTGGAAATGCTGTAATCCTACGACTAGAAGATGTTACACATCGAGAAATGTGGTGTTTAATGAAGCATCTTATTGGTGGTCCTTAGAAAATGAGGTGTTGCCTGATTCAAGAGAAATTGAAGATAAGTTACAGGAAAAGATGGGGGAGCAAACTATTCAAATCCAATCGAGACCAGATGAGTCTAAGGTTTTGCTTGATGGTAATGATGTTGAGCAAGCAGTACCTTTAAATCCTTGGCAAATTGGCATATATCAACAACCAGAAGAAGATTGACCTAGTGAGGAAGTATCTAACTCCACAATCACAACTAAGGAGGTTAACAAGAATCTAGAAGCCAAATCCTAAGTATGCCAATGCAGCGATAGAAGAATAAGCATCGCAACTATTGTGCATGAGCTAACCACTAGGGCTGCCAATAAAGGGTCAAATGAGACGGTGTACAGCCTTGCGCAGTGCACGCAGGACCTCTCTTCTTCAGCTTTCAAACGGTGTCTAGCAAAAGCTGCAAAAGAATTAGTTTCAACGGTATCCCAGGGGGGACGACTTCTATACCCCAGTTGTAGTGTTCGGTTCGATGATGCCCTCTTTTAAGTGATCAATTGGACCGCCGCACAGCGTCCTCCCACGCCAGAGGCTCTTCCTCCTCCTAATACTATACTACTATATTCACGTTCACCACCCAACTCTGTGATGATACCTATAGGCAAAGTACCTTGCGGACTTAAAAAAAGTCATCATGCACTCTTCCATACTACAAATATGAGGGAGAAACTGTATAATGATGAGAGTACTAATAACAGTTCTCTAGTTAATTCGTTTTTTATATTTTTAAATCAAGATTTAGATATACGTATGACCTATGATCTTATCGGCCATTAGATAGATATTAAGTGGATAAGAATAAGTATTATAAAGGGGAAGAATACAGTATTCAGAAAAATGAACATGAAATATTAATTGTTTTTGTTTTGATGAATGTGGAAGGTATGTGAAAATGAACATGACATATTATTGTTCTTACTGCAGGAAGAAGGAAACACTTCCCTACAATTACCATTGTTGTTGGGTGCGTTGGCATTGCTCTTATAGTTGTCTCTCTGGTTGTAGCATTGGGCTACTGCCTCCCTGGCAGAAGAGAAAGAAAGAAAAACGAAGAGGCTCTACAACAAGAAAATGGCAAACAGCAAGGTAAGGGAAAACAAATGAAACCCAAAAGTCAGATTGAAAATTTTGAATTTATGTTGATGTGTCTGGCATATGATCGTAACTTTCTTTGCAATGCAAAAGATATGAGGACGGCTGAATCCTTGCAATTTGAACTGGGAACTCTCGAAACTGCCACAAATAAGTTTTGCGAAGATAACAAGTTAGGCGAAGGTGGATTCGGTGCAGTTTTCAAGGTAATAACACAACAAATATGTAATGCATTAGTTCCTGAGTCATTCTATTAATCCAACATTGTATAGTATATATAAATTGCTTAGATCACAACAAAATTGTTGGATAAACTAAAGTACCTATATACCTTATCACAGGGAATACTTACTAATGGACAAGAAATAGCAGTAAAGAGGTTGTCAAAAAGCTCCGGACAAGGTGTACAAGAATTTAAGAACGAGGTAGTGTTGGTAGCCAAGCTTCAACACAGAAATCTTGTCAGGCTTTTAGGATTTTGCTTGGAAGGAGAAGAAACCATACTTGTTTATGAATATGTGCCCAACAAAAGCCTTGATTATTTTCTATTTGGTATGTGATCATCATTTCATGAATATACATATATGTTTGTGTCAGTAAACATAATTCTTTGTAGTTCCTAACTTCAAAAAGTACTACTTGAAATTGATAAATTTACAGAACATAGAAAACGAGAACAACTAGATTGGTTGAGCCGCACCATGATAATTGGAGGAATTGCTCGAGGAATTTTGTATCTTCATGAAGATTCGAGGCTTAGAGTTATACATCGTGATTTGAAAGCTAGCAATATTTTATTAGACAGCAACATGAACCCGAAAATATCAGATTTTGGGATGGCTAGAATGTTTGGAGTTGATGATCAAACTGAAGGAAATACCAAAAGAATTGTTGGCACTTAGTAAGTTTCAACTTATACAAATACCTCTATCCAATATTAGTAATCTTACATTCCAATTAGTCGTTTCAACTTATGTACTTACCTCTATTATAAATAGATAACAGAATAGTATATGTTCGTTATGTAAACTCTTATATATTTCAACCATTTTGGTCCTGCAATTAGTGGATACATGGCTCCAGAATATGCTATGGAAGGGTTGTATTCAGTAAAATCGGATGTCTTCAGCTTTGGAGTACTTCTACTTGAGATCATAACGGGGAGAAGGAACTTTTTAGGTTTTCATCGCACTAATTGTGGACCTACTCTTATAGGTTATGTAAGTTCCTTACTTGGAATACTTATACAAAATATTCATGAGCTTAGTTAATGTAGCTATCAAAACTGGAGGAGGACTTACATCCTTGAGAGATATTGATTGCAGGCTTGGCAATTATGGAATGAAAAGAAAGGTTTGGAGTTGATGGATCCCTTGTTAAAAGATTCATGCAGTCCAAATGAATTTTTGAGGTACATCCACATTGGATTATTGTGTGTTCAAGAGGATGCAAACAACAGGCCAACCATGTCATCAGTTGTTCATATGTTAAAAACTGAAACTATTAGTCTTTCCCGACCTGAGAAACCAGCCTTCTTTACAGGAAGATATGTTGATCACCATGATCAAATACGTTCTCAAGATTGCTCAGCCAATGGTTTGACGATTTCTATCGATGTTCCTCGTTGAGACCGATGACAATAAGGTTAATATCATTGGAAGCTCTTCCGTTAAAGGCACTTTGCTGCGTTAGAGACAATTCTATAATCTTTACAGCTCTTCTTTCACCTTGTCATTTGTATAGGGTAAATGTTAGTTACCACGCACTCCGTAATCTCGAATTTCTAGAATTTTTAATAACATATATATACTGTATATATACTACCAGTATGACTTGAGTGGTGTTATTTTACGTACTTATATGTTTCAAGTTAATTAGAATATTGGTCCCATAACTTGTTACAATCTGTAACAATGATTCTTATTAATGTCCAACTGTAGTTTGTAACTTGTCTTCGCCACTCATGGCTTGGAACCTAAAACGCAACCAGAATTATGTCGTTTAAATATCCAAAACATCCAACAATCACCCATAGTTCCAGCTCCATTATTTTGGGTATTCAATATCTTAAAACAATTTTTCTTGTTATTCTCATTTTTCATAAGTAAAGTGCAACATGATACTTACAGCAGGGAAGCCGCCGTAATCTCCAGGTTCTGTAATATCTTTCGTGACACAGCTCATACCAGCAAGCCGTACCTTCAAAGTCCATGTAATTATATTCAGAAATATTTGTTAATCAATGAAAAAATGTGAGAGCACGAAGAAGAATAAAATATCAGTAGAAAAACTAAAAAAGAAAGTAACATCAAACTTCAAAACTCACATGATATTTAAATCCTGTACTGAGTTCTTTAACAAGTAACAAGCAATGACTAATTTTCGCTACTACTAGATGGGCCATTGTATGTAAGAAAATACCTTTGATATAATGGATACATGGTCACGAACTGCTACCCTCCCTCCCGTAGTTACATAGTCTCCTATCCTACAATAGAAAAAAAAAGGACAGCCATCAGATTTGGTAGATCTTCTGAATCATCGGCTAAGTTGTTGAAGTGAAAGTGAATCATGTTACGGAGGCCTTTCTAAATTAGAAAAATACAGAGGGGACATAGAAAGAACATATGTCACTGCGCCTGCAATCCCAACTTGTCCACAAAGTATGCAATTCTTCCCAATAACTACATTATGACCAATCTACAAGAAACGAACAAACGGATAATTGTCTACTATTCCAGAAAATTACCCACGAACTTAAAAAGCAAAAGTTAACCTGAACTAAATTGTCTATCTTTGAATGATCCCCTACAACGGTATCTCTCCAACTGCATAAACCAAACAATGTTATAAATTATTATTAGGTATGTAACAGTACAAAATATGGTTGATATGTCTTAATTTTAGGATGTATTAATAAACAAATAAAATAATAATACTAGGTGGTCGTGTTCAAGGTGCACCAAAACATTTACCAGATATTATTTCAACACAATTATCATGCGAAGAGGAGTGAACAATAACTATTTTGAAATGCTAATAACATCGAGTGAAGATTCTCGCCGGATCCTTCAATCATATTCGTTCATCGTATATCGTGCAGTCAGAAATCATTGTAAATTTTTTTATTTAAAATTAATATAAATAGTATATGACGAAAATTGGCCGCAAGATATACGATGAATGGATGTAATCCGTGGTGGAGCCAAAGTTCTTTGTGAGAAAGGGCCTTTCATACATTGAGAAAAAATTTCAAACTCATAACATGAGCAATTGAAGTAATCCTCACAAAACTGAAAGATATGTTAAATTTAATAAAGAAAATCAAAAGAAGTGTATAATACAAGTAAGTGGGAGGTAGAGAGCAAGTAGCACTTGAAAGAAGTTATAGGATGAAAATACAAAGAAATCTTATTTGAATCATTTGACAAAAAAAGTCGCGCAAAGGGGAAGACTACAAATAATACTTGACCAGGCTGCTTTAGAAATAACGTTAAAGTCAATTTTAAAATCCCATCATTGAGTTTCACTGAACCACAAAGATGAAACAAACAAAATGTTAGCAAAATATAAAATACGACGTCGTTCAACTCAAGTTCTTCACGAGGTCAATTCATTTTCTTTCTCATATCTCACAAGCCACTAGAAATTTCTTACGCAACTGTTAGGATGGGCTCGGGACCACTCTGGTCCCTTGGGCCTTCTCTAACCGAAGGAGGGCCAGAGAGCTTGTTTTAGCCCTCTGACCCTCCAATAAATTAATATTTTAATGAACAGTGCATGACTATATTTCTTACCATCTCCAACCAAGAGACCAAAGGGTCATAGGCCAAATATAGCCTTGTGACAAAAAACCATCTCTAACCGAGAGCTAAAGAGTCATAGGGCCAAACATAATTTATTATTTAAATTTAAAAACTACAACAACTTAAATTTAAAAACTACAACTTAAATTTAAAGTCTATAATCATCATCATCTTCATCATCTGCCATTGTAGGAGTATAGTTGGAGGTAAACAACTGCCGTCGGGCCATAATTTCCTCTTTTTTTCCTATCAAAATAGGCCTGGCCTTACTCATTGGAGTGTAATCCGTAGTGTTCCTTTCCATATTCTTATCGTCCATCTCTTATTGTATTTGTTTGACCCGTTCTTCATACCTACGCTTCCTTTCTTCCACATCAATGGCATTTTGCTCCGCCATTAATCGCATTGACGTTGCCATTTCCTGTTGATCATCCTTTGCCTTACTCTCTTCCTTCAACCTTCGGGCCTTGTTTCATCCCATAGCCCTATGGAACCTTCACCCGAAGACAAATTTTGTACCCGTGTTTCTTGAATGGTAGGAGATCCATCTTCATCCCCATCTACAATTGAGAATGCAGTACCGAACACCAGCGTATGACCTTCTCTGTTGAGGTGGATCTTCAAATAACACCCACCATTTACAAATTTCCCAACAGCCGTGATGCTGAAAGGGTTTCGAGCTGCCCTGCATATACAATTCCTCCATTTGGAGTACCTAGAAAATATAATTACAAAAATTAAAGTAAATTAATTTATGAAATTAAATGTAATATAATTACAAAAATGAGAGGAAATTAATTTATGAAATTAAATGTAATATAATTAAATATTTAAAATAAATTGTAAAAACACTTACTTTGTCGTAGTAATTGGTGCCCCTTTCATATCTACTTGCGGCTGCTAACAATGTTTGATGCCATATATTCAAACTTGGATGAAAATGTTTCTTCCTTCTTGAATAACAACTCTCTTGGTTTCATGAATTCGGTGGAATGATGCTTTCATAGAACTCATAGTATTTTTGGGACACATGAGTCTAAACACCTTCACCTGTTTGAAAAATCCTCCTCACACTATCTTCCGAGACCCATCTATAAGCCCTACAAATAACTTCATCTTCTTTTCGGGTCCAAGCTTTACCTCTCATTACAGATGAGGTCATTTGAAAATTATTGAAAAAATTGAAAGAAAGATTATTAGGAGGGGTAAGAAAATAAAATGTGAAGAATTGAAAAAGAATGAAGTGAGATAGTATAGAATAGTGAAAATTATGTGAGAAATAGTGTAGAATGACTTAGATATTTATAGGAAAAAAAAGAGGAATTTAAAAATAAAAAAAAAGGTCCAAAAAAAAATCATCCAACGGTAACTAACATCAGCTACCCATTGCTAGCTGGTTCCACGCTGATGTTAGCTAAGCGTTGTGTTTGAAATTGTGGCCTCCCACTCCTGTCAGATATAACTGACACTAAGAATTACAATGTTGTTGGATATAACCAACATGAATAATGAAAAATCTGACTCGGTCCGAGCTGGGGTTGGGAGCAAAGAAAATTGGGCATGGCGTCGAAAATAATTTATGAACAGAGGCTGCTTTTTAGGCTGCTATGGTTGTTTTCTTAATTTTATTCTTGAATATTTGGTTTATTTTTTATTATTTTAAATATTGGCAAGTTAACAGTGTTAGTTGTAGTTAGTAAAAAGACATGTGTCACTCAATTAAGCAAGGCCCAGAGGGGCACAACTGAATAACACAAGCTGTTGGATTTTGATCTAACGACTACAAATAGATGGTTCTTCCAAAGTTATAATAATTATAGCTGTTGGATCAAAATTCAACTACTTGTGTTAATGAGTCAAGAAGATCCCAAGGCTTTGCCTCAATTCCGCAAAAAATTTCAACTCCTCCAAAACGTCACAGCATTAGAGCAATTCCACCCCTAAGACTTTGCGCCAGCACCCAGCGCATTTATCCACTCAAGTGAACAGTAATCTACTCTAGTGAATAGTAATAGGCTAAAGCATCTCCATCCCTAAAATAAAATAGCCCAGTCAATTTATTAAAATATTATTTTTATTATTATAAAATAATAAAAAATAATATTTTTATTTTTATTTTCTGACTTTATAAAAAAAATATAATAATATTATTATTAAAATATTATTATTTTCCCATCTTCCACATTTCCCTTCCCCTCCATTCTTGCACGCCATCCACCCAGCACAGATAATCCATTCCCACCGCCACCTCCAAACCTCCTCTAACGCCGTTGCGCTCCTGTCCTTCAAATCCCAAGCCAACCTCAACAACAAGCTCCTCTACACCTCATGTCCTTCAACGCCGTCGCTTCATCCTCCTGCATCTCCACACCTCCGATGCCGTCGCTTCGTCCTCCCGTCCTTCTCCCTCCGTGGCTCCTTCCCTCTCGACACCCTCTCCCGCCTCGACCAGCTCCGCTCTTCACCTCCACAACAACGCCCTCTCTGGCGCAAGAAAAAAAAAAGGCTGACATCATATGCCGTCCGACGCCACGCTGACGTCAGATCGACCGGTCTCAAGGTCTGTCAATTTTGGGCTGGCCTGGAGACCAGCTTGGGCTGGGTGCCAGGCAATGGAACGGGCTGGAGTGGATTGGCTGAGTGCCAGTCTTGTTTTTTGGCTGAGTGCCGGCCTAACCACCTCCCGGTGGAACTGCTCTTACCGGCGCCTGCACCAAGAGCTCCTGGTCCTCGTCCACCTAAAGTTACCAATTGATTTTATCACTCAAATCATGTTAAAGTTTCCAATGAATCAATTTCTAAGAAGCTGCAATTTAGTAAAGCGTACATCAAAATTGATTGAAATGCATCGCGCTGTAATAGCACGTGCTTTGCGATGCATCCACATTAGCTGAAGGCTGAAGCCAAACGTGTTGGCAATCCCACATCGTTAGGGAAAAAAAGAAAATTTTAAATTTAAATATGATAACCCCACTTTAACTAATATTGAAGTTTTTTTTTGTAGTAAAACTCCACACCTGACAGATTAGGTATGTGGTAGTTATCAAATCTGGGACAGTTTCAGTGTCCTTAAAAAGGGGTTCACAAGGAGAAATTTTTAGTTGTGACAGGAACACAAGTGATACACCACATGTTTTAATAGGAATGGTGGGAAATTTTATTTTTTAAGTTATTAACTTTTTAGCACACATATCCCAATATTTGTTTAATAACACTTGATGTATCACTTTGTATGCTGATCACACTGAAAAATCTCTCGTTCACCAGGGATAAGTGTTGGCCCACATCAGTGGGGAATTTTTTTTGTGTTTAAATATGATTACCAGCGAGGACCCTTGGGCCCGTTGATCTAAATATTTCAACAAAACGTGTGCTAATTGTTTTCTCATGAATCACACGGTATAGTTGACTCGAGGGTCAACAAGCCGTGCTTGTGAATTTGCAATTGCCATCTAGTTACCTCAAACATTCACTAATTGTTAAACTTAGGAATATATGATCAACATTTGTAATTAAGAGCGAGGGGGAGATGATGAGGAATATGTCTACGATCCCTTTTCTGTTTCTCATGAGTTTGATCGCTAGAAGCGAAGCAGTTCGTTACTTCAGCCATAGGTGCCCAGACAATACCACTTTCACCCCCGCCGAAGTATACGAATCCGACCCCGACAGCTTCCAACATAATCTCCGTCAACTTCTCCAATTCCTTTCCTCGAACGCCACACGTACTGACACCGTCTTTTACACTGCTACCGCTGGCCGAAACTCAACTGAAAAGGCATATGGGATGTTTCTATGTCGCGGTGATGTCTCTACCAACGTTTGCAAAGAGTGCGTGGCCGAAGCAATCATGGAGGCACCACAACGCTGCCCAGATGGAAAAGAGGTTATCATATGGTACGACGAATGCATGGTACGCTACTCGAATGAGACATTACTTTTCTCCATGAACAGTTCGCTTGAAGCGGGCGTGTTGGACAACGTGGTTAATGAAACAGGGCAAAGCCGATATGGCCAGGTAGTGGCAACTAGTTTGCATGAGCTAACCACTGAGACTGCCAATAACAGCAAACACTTTGCAACCAAAGAAGCCAAAGTTAAAGGGTCAAATGAGACGGTGTACAGCCTTGCGCAGTGCACGCCGGACCTCTCCGCTACAGATTGCAAACTGTGTCTAGCAAATGCTACAGAAGAAGCATTATATATGTGTGAATTGGCATGCCCAGGGGCACGAATGGTATACCCGAGTTGTAATGTTTGGTACAATAATACCCTCTTTTACGCCATCAATTGGACCCACGCACAGCATCCTCCCACGCCAGAGGCTCTTCCTCCAGGTACTCTACAACCAAATTTGCGATTACCTATAGGTAAAGTACCTTGTGCGCGTAAAAAAGATTTATGCCATCAGTTGTAGTGTTCAATGATGAGAGTACCAATATCAGTTCTCTTGTTAATTCGTTTTTTATAGTTTTAAATCAAGATTTAGATTGAGAGTACCAATAACAGTTCTGTTGTTAATTCGTTTTTTATATTTTTAAATCAAGATTTAGATATACGTATGACCTCCGATCTTATCGGTCATTAGATGGATATTTTGTGGATAAGAGTAAGTATATTATAAAGGGAAAGAACACAGTATTCAGAAAACAAACATGTTCAACTAGTTAAATTAATCAATGGAAATTGTGAGTTTAAAAGCACAAAAAGAGCTTTATGACAAGAAAACTCAAACTGTTCTTACCGCAGGAAGAAAGAAACACTCCTCTGTAACTATCATTGTTGTTGTGAGTGTTGTAATTGCTCTTCTAGTTGTCTCTCTGGTCCTTGTAGCATTGGGCTACTGCCTCCCGGGCAGAAGAGAAAGAAAGAAGAACGATGAGGCTCTGCAACAAGAAAATGGCAAACAGCAAGGTAAGGGAAAACAAATGAAACCCAAAAGTTAGAACTGAAAATTTTGAATTTGTTTTGATGTGTCTGGCATAAGATCATAACTTTCTTTCCAATGCAAAAGATATGAGGACGGCTGAGTCCTTGCAATTTGATTTGGGAACTCTCGAAACTGCCACAAATAAGTTCTCCGAAGATAACAAGTTAGGCGAAGGTGGATTCGGTGCAGTTTTCAAGGTGATAACCCAACAAATATATAATGCATTAGTTCATGAGTCATTCTACTAATCCAACATTGCATAGTATATATGTTGCTTAGATCACAACAGAATTGTTGGATAAACTAAAGTACTATGTACCTTCTCACAGGGAATGCTTATTAATGGACAAGAAATAGCAGTAAAGAGGTTGTCAAAAAGCTCCGGACAAGGTGTACAAGAATTTAAGAATGAGGTTGTATTGGTAGCCAAGCTTCAACACAGAAATCTTGTCAGGCTTTTAGGATTTTGCTTGGAAGGAGAAGAAACCTTACTTGTTTATGAATATGTGCCCAACAAAAGCCTTGATTATTTTCTATTTGGTATGTGAACATCATTTGATGAATATACATTTACGTTTGTGTCTGTAAATATAATTCTTTTTAGTTCCTAACTTCAGTAAGTACTACTTGAACTTGATAAATTTACAGAAAATAAAAAACGAGAACAACTAGATTGGTTGAGCCGCACCATGATAATTGGAGGAATTGCTCGAGGAATTTTGTATCTTCATGAAGATTCGAGGCTTAGAGTTATACATCGTGATTTGAAAGCTAGCAACATTTTATTAGATAGCAACATGAATCCGAAAATATCAGATTTTGGGATGGCTAGAATGTTTGGAGTTGATGATCAAACTGAAGGAAATACCAAAAGAATTGTCGGTACTTAGTAAGTTTCAACTTATACAAATACCTCTATCTAATATTAGTAATCTTAAGTTCCAATTATTTGTTTCAATTTATGTACTTAACTCTTATCTTTAAATAGACAACAGAAAAGTATATATTTGTTAAACTCTAATATATGTCAACCATTTTTGTCCTGCAATTAGTGGTTACATGGCTCCAGAATATGCTATGGAAGGGTTGTATTCAGTAAAATCGGATGTCTTCAGCTTTGGAGTACTTCTGCTTGAGATCATAACGGGGAGAAGGAACTTTTTAGGCTTTCATCGAACAAATTGTAAACCTACTCTTATAGGTTATGTAAGTTCTTTACTTGAAATGCTTATTCAAAATATTCGTGAGCTAATTAATGTAGCTATTAAAACTGGAGTAGTACATACATCCCTGAGAGATATTGATTGCAGGCTTGGCAATTATGGAATGAAACGAAAGCGTTGGAGTTGATGGATCCCTTGTTAAAAGATTCCTGCATTCCAAATGAATTTTTGAGGTACATCCACATCGGATTATTGTGTGTTCAAGAAGATGCAAACAACAGGCCGACCATGTCCTCAGTTGTTCTTATGTTAAAAAGTGAAACTATTAGTTTTTCCAAACCTGAGAAACCAGCCTTCTTTACAGGAGGATATGTTGACCACCATGATCAAGTGCGTCCTCAAGATTGCTCAGGCAATGGTTTGACCATTTCCATCGATGTTCCTCGTTGAGACCGATGACAATAAGGTTAATATTTTGGAAGGCTCTTATGCTGCATTTAGAGACAATCCTATAATCTCTACAGCTTTTCTTTCACCTTGTCATTTGTATAGGGTAAATGTTAATTACCATGCGCTCCCTAATAATCTCGAATCTACAGAATTTTATATGACTAGCAGTATGACTTGAGTAGTGTTATTCTATGTATTTAATATGTTTCGAGTTAATTTGAATAATGGTCCATAACTTGTTACAATCTGTAACATTATTCTTTTTTGGTAATCACGTTAGAATAATTCCTTTTATATTTTTCTCTTTAAACCCTTTATTTTGGAAGGTATTATAAAATAATGTTTACTCAAAAGAACCATTACTATACGTTATGATCCGTTTAGCGACCGATGCTCTAATTTTGTCATATCTTTCAGTAGGAGTGTTATTTTTCATGTGATCTAACTATACCTCAATTTGGTGTAATTTTCTACTCAAATTAAAAAATCTATAAATTAGTGTCATATATATGCAGATAATTACTCAAGGAAATTTCAATTTTCTCGCTAGACTGTGAACCGAGTTTGATGACCAATTTGATCCATGAAACAACGGGGATTTAAAATTTTTACAACAAAAAATATCCACGACAACGATGTTTTAAGTGAGAAAATTTCTTCCTCGCTGTACGCCTGGGACAAACTCCCCAGCTCTATAAATCACACAGATCCCCTCCGGATCCATTATTTGAGGATTCTAAGATGCCCACGTATCAACCGTTCATCGTATATCGTGCAGTTAGTTTTTGTCAGATACTATTTGTGATTAATTTAAAATAATAAAAGTAAAATAATTTCTGACCGTACGATTTATGATGTACTGCTGAGATGTGGGAATTCCTAGGATCCCCATATAATGGATCCAGAGGGGATTGTGTTCTTCTGTAAAAACTATATACCGAGAGGCTGATGGTAAGAATCCCATGATACTGTTACAATCACACCTTGTATATATTTGATTAATTGTACAAACTTTAATTAAAGGAATTGTTGTTAGCACCCTTAAAATTTCATTTGGCATTTCAAAATTTTAATAATTAGAAAGAAAAATACATTTACGAAGAGTATACAATGAGATTTTTTTTAATATTAATAACAGTTCCCTTAATTAATACTAGGATAAATAGTAAAAAGGATTCTAATAACTAGTACACCTTCGACAACTCAGCTCAGCTATACCTAACTCCCTCTTGTTCTGTCTCTATTCAACTACAAGCAGAGAAAGTTGAGGTTTCATCATAACATTAATTGGTAAAATAGAGAGTAGTTTTACTTTTTATAAGCTTATGCAAGTTCCCTCCTTCCATTAAAGTGAGACATATTCTCAACACACTCCCTCATGTATGACAAATTTTCAAGCCTAACATGTGAAAAATATAACAGAATGATGCGGAGTGCGTATTACCGTTTAACTTCACACGTGAGATAACCTATTTTGATACTATAAAGAAAGTTAAAGTTCTATTACAAAACCAATTGACTAGAAAGTAGTCTCATGCAAATCCCTCCATCACACCGAAGATGTTCCCCAAGGTGATTATATAGACACTCCATTTGTATTTATAGGTGTATATGTGTTTATTTGTGGTAATTTTTGTATGAGATGTGATATCACACATTCTATTTTACTTCTCACACATCTTTTTAATTTTTCACCGTCGGATCAAATGAATTAAAGAAAATCAACAAACATAAATTATCAAGGGCTATGTGAGAAGTAAAATGAGATGGATAGATACCACATTCCTTTTTGTATATATAGGTCTCTGTGTGTGTTTGTATGTGCGCAGCCATTGGTGTTTGACAATTTGTCTCTGTAGATGTTTAGATATGGTGGATAGGAGGGTAGAGGCGGTGGCTCGCCTCAAAGCTCTGCCCTCTCTCTCCACCCCACCCCTCGCTTAAGGTTTGCTTTTGAGTCTAGACCCCTGTTTGGTTTCCGAGAAAATCACAAGCTCAAATTTTCTCGCACTTTTCTCAATTTTTGTGTTGGAATTGATAGGTTGCGTTGAAGGAGGTTATCGAGAAGGTTCTCGCTGAGCCGATACGGCTTCATTTGGTTGTGGCTAATATTGGAACTGGGTCTCGTATGACATTTGCAAGCATGTATGTGTTCTTACTCATATAAACACCTTAATCTTAATTAGTATATAATTTAGATAACTTTTTAATTAAGCAAGTTACGGATTTTCTTTTGTTGTTTGTTTGAAATTACAGATATAAAAAAAAAATTGGGGTCCAGTGTTCCATTCATCATTTCTACTTCAAGTGGAATTTTTGGAAGAGATGCTATTACCCATGAATTCAAAGAGGTTTCGTGGTTGTGTTTTTCGTGTATGCCGTGTTTTTGTTTATTAATTTGCAGCAAGTTCAAGTCTTTACTGATTTCAGATGAAATGTGATTGTTTGGGTTAGGTGGGGAGAGGTTTGTGGTGATGGAAGTGATGAAGATTGCTCTATACCAGCAAAGGATGTGACCTATGACATCCTTTTGACTGTTGGCTTTGTGCCAGGATTGAAAGTTGATGCCATCCTGCTATTACGAACAATAAAGGTGCCAAATTTTACATTTCTGTTACACTTTTCTTTGATATGCTTTCTTGGGGAATATTTACATTTCCTTGAACATTATCCTGATGCATCAAATTTTGTTTCTGTTACAGATATGGAACTGTTCATGTGATGAAGGTACTATAAATGTGTCCATCTTTGCATTAAATCACCGGATTCGTTTAGTTTAATGGTCAAATTATTAATTCAGACATTTGCTAACTGTTTGATCTGTTTTTGGATTGTTGTGTGCTATGGAATTGTGTAATATGTTGGATGTTGAGATGGCATTTAGAAACGCATGCTACAACTGATAAATGTTTTGAGATTACTGCTGAAACTTTACTTGCACTTTCTTATTTTTTCTCCTGCCATATTTTTTTTTTCTTTCTTTTAAGCATGGTCATGATTGGTTATCTACTTTGTTTTGACAGCCGATATTCGTGTTCATCAGTTCTTTAAAACATCATATTTCAAGACCGGGATTCACCCACTCCCAGGTGCTCATGAGACGATTCATAAGTTGTCAGATTTCTGTGACCTGTCTCCAGTTTGAATAATGGATTTTCTTGACACATAAATAGTTTCTAATGATATCAGGAACCTCGAGAAGTCTTGCTTGATAAATTCATCATGGATATTAAGGATTACACAGCCTCTGAAAATTGTTGCACAAGTTCTAGGTCCGTACACACACTCCTCTTTCTTTATACTTACCATTTCTTTCTCTTTAATTGGTACTATTTTTTAATATATATTTTAAAACTGTTTGAACTTGGAATTGATTTGTATGATTGCAGATAAGGAGAATCTAACCCCGAGTGGCTCCAAGCTTACAGTAACATGAAATAACAGAACTAACGGTAAGCTATGCGGTAACCTTTTTCCTTTTCTTCGCCATGACAAACTAACGGTAACTCCCTTTTTGATATAATGAATATTATATGCATATGTGGAGATATTCACATCAAAATGTCTGAACATAATTTGGGATCAAAGCATTGTGACAGAAACACTTAAGTTTACAATTCAGGTGTTGATATTGTTGTAAATTTGGTTTCTTTTCAAGAAATTTGAATTGGAATTTTCTTTTGCAAATTGTCTTTGAAGGTACTCATCTGAGATCAAATCGTTGCTTAGAAGGCTTGGTGTGGAGCCGATCGAGATTGACTTGGATGAACTGGGTACAAATTTTTTACTATCTATTACATGGCAATGGTTGGTTTGCAATTCAATATTTAGATTTAATGTAATTTGTTAATGGAGCTGCAGTTTTCTGTGTTTCACAATGTGGTAGAATAGTTGGAATGAAAATTTAATGGTAAATCAGTTGATTATGTATACAAGGTGGGAATAGTGAATAATATTTAAGAGCAACTTTTTACGTTCCTTTCACCTTTCGAAACAGAAATATTCTGGTAGTGTCCTCGCATTTTTGGGGATCTCAGAATGTTCAAAACAGTGTTTGCACAGTTAAGACTATATGTGTGCTTCAGTGCACCAAGTTCAAAGGTTTTTGTTCCCCCAATTTAACAAGTTACGCGTCTATTTAGTTTAGTTTTAATGTCGAAGTATCATTGTTTGATTACATCGTAGTATTAATATGTTATTTTAATGATTTCATATGCTTCTCATTACATTAATTGTGTTGGATTTCTACTTTTCTGGCTTTTCTTTTCTTTAATTAAAGTTTGTAATGTATCTTGACTGGTACCAATATTCTTAATGAAGATTAGAGCAATCAAATGGAGCTTCACAGGATAAGTGTGTGAGGGTGAGTTTTTTTGTTACTGTATTTTTCTCCTCCTTTGCATGCTTCTTGATGGTTTTACTTAAGTCTTCATTTCGGTTGCTTGCCCAGATTATACGGAACTCTAGTGGTGCAAACATTGCTGTGGATATATGGAGTCTTGGGTGCACTGTCTTGAAAATATCTTTAGAGTGATGGTTTTCCTAATACTGTTTTTCTCCCTCTTTGTGGTCCAGTTGTGCAGTAGAGGTTCCCATGCAGAGGAGGAAAACTGCTGCAAGTGGAGGATAGGTAACAGCTCAAGACTTGTGGTATGAGGGTGCAGGTAAACAGTACATATGCATCTGGAAAAAGTAAAAAGTAAAGGCCGGTTGGCTGTAGTTTCTCCTTCTTGCCACAATAGAAAATATTTTTGAACTGCATTAAGCTGTTAATAAATTAAGCTTAAGCTATATTTTACTTATCAAGAATGGGTAAACTGTTTTAAATAGGAAAATTAAGTGCTTATATCAAGTAAACTGTAAATTTAAAATTTTGTGGTAAATTAGATATATAGTTTAATTCGAAGAATTGAGTTGTCCTTTACTTATGTTAAATTATATAGTTTAATTGCTTTTCCTTTTTCCAATCCCTATATATCTGCTCAACTCTTCGGTCAATTATTTGCCAGTAGGAATGTTTAATTGCTTTATCAATGATGTCAATTCAATTTGAAGAAGAAATATGACTTTTGTTCAATAGGGATTGGCCTATCTCATGAGTAAGATGTCCCAATTGTTCATTTGTTCTTAGGTACTTCAATATCATTTTAGTTACTTTATGTGGAAACAATTCATGTATGTTGCGACTAATCTATCAACATCCCCGCAAAACACGGACGCATTTTTAAATCAATACAATTACAGTAATTTATGGAAATAAAAAATATCGAAAACTCTGAGTGGCTGAAAGTATGGCGGTGGGAGGGTCAAGTACGTTATTACATCATTACTTCTTTGTGGTTGGTCCAGTAGGTGCCAAAACATGAATTCCACGTATAATGATGAAAAGTTGAGAGGGACTTGGATCCTCTCCTTGAGCCCCAGGAGAGGATCCTCCTGATCAAAGTATTTGGACCGTTGGATGAAAATTCAACGATTTCAAACAGGAGGATCCTTTTAAAGTTATAATAATTATAGTCGTTGAATTTTCATCCAACAGTTCAAGTGCTTTGGTCAGGAAGATCCTTTCCTTGAGCTCAGGAGAGGATCCAAATCCATTTGAGGGGTACCCCTTAGAAAAAGTCCAGTGACACCTATGAGTTTATGTCACAAAGAAATTTAAAATACAGAATCTTTCTTTCTTCAAATGGAATTGGTCTCTTCGAGGTTTTATTATATATAAAAAATATAAAAAAAAGGGATTGGTCTATTTCTCGATTTAATACAAGATAGTGACCAACCAATGATTTGTTAAACTATGAAACACAATAGAGTCGCTAACCCTAAAACCATATTAATAGTTGAAGGCTAATCAAAAAAGAAAAATACAAAGATTAGAGAATGGCATGAAAGAAGAAGTGAGCTGAGAAAGAAGAGAGATGAATGTAATTGTTTGGATTCAATTCAATGTAATGAGAGTCATTTTACAACATGTTATTCTAACACATTTGAAAAACTAACAGACTTGTAACAAACTTAACCACTCTAAGTTGACATGGCAAGGACCAATACACATGAACCACATGCATAACTGCAATTCTACTCTGTTTATGCTTCTCAGTGATATTAGTCTCTATTTGATTGGAGGAGATCTCTAGTTATGACTGATATGAATTGTAAAAAGTGTGCATTTGTTGTGAGTTTGAAACTAAATTGTGGCTAGCATCATTGGAAGAGTAGCCGCAATTGAAGATGAGAATAGAGAAAATCGGTTAAGGTGATTTAGATATGTGAACCGAAGATCTATATGGTTAGAAAATGTGATTATGAGATAGATGCTCAGAACAAAAGAGCAAAGAAAGATATAAGAAGATTTGGAAAGAGTGTTTAAAAAAAAAACATGAAATACTTGAAACTAACAAAAAATTTAGTGCAAAATCAAGCATAATGACCTTATAAAATTATTTATATAGCCGATCATATTTAACGAGATAAAACTTGTTATTGGTGTAATGAGAGTCAAATCAAATACTATTCGCCATAATTGGTCAAGGGAACAAAACGTGCAATTCTAATTAAGGGTCAATAGTGACATTTGACTCAAGGAACAAAGGTCTTTTGTTTAATTTGATTTTTCTTAGCATCTTCCACCTCATCTAGTCTATGAAAACCAGTCATTGAAGACAGGTTGACAATTTCTGCACGGGCAAGAGAGAAATGGGATCCTCAAGATCATTGCTTATCTTCATCTTTCCAATTCTTTTCAACCTTATTCCTCCCACCGCTTCCCAAGATGACGGTATCTGCACATATAATCCTTACTACTGCTGGAAATGTTCCGATACCGGCACCTACACGCCCGGCGGCATGTACCAAAAGAACCTCAACAGCCTCCTCTCCTCCTTCACCACAAACACCGAAATCAGTTCCGGGTTTTACAATTTTTCCAAGGGACAAGACCCCAACAAAGTTAACGCCATTGCATTGTGCAGAGGAGACCTCTCTCAGGACGCTTGCCGTACACGTCTCAAAGATTCTATAAATGCTCTCTTGCAAAATTGTTCTACTCATCCAAAGGAAGCAATCATGTGGACAGAGCATGCTATGGTTCGATACTCGAACAACTTGATATTCGGAATTGAGAAAGAGGACCCTATAAAATTTGTGCCTGGCCCAAATCCTGCTAAGGATCCTGCACGGTTTGACCTGGTGCTTAACTCCTTGTTGAGTAGATTAATTGAAAAAGCTGCATCAGGGGACTCTACTAAAAAATTTGCAGCAGGTCATGCAACTGTCCCGGGAGGTGAAACTATATATGCACTTGTCCAGTGCACACCAGATATAAACGAACTAAACTGCAGCCATTGCCTTACAGAAGCAGTCGAAGATATTTCCGCATGTTGTGGTGGAAAGAAAGGAGGAAGAGTTCTTAAGCCCAGCTGTAACCTAAGGTATGAGGTTAGTCTTTTCTTTGAGTCCACAGCCGGTGTGCCAGTAAATATTCCACCTCCAGGTCCAGCAGCACCAGCACCCAAAGAAGGTACGGTGAAATTTTTTCATTTCCTGCCTTTTAGCCATATGCTCTCCAAACTGAGTAATTAGGATTTTTTTCTGCACTCACATGAGGAGCGCAAGAGGTTAAAAATAGAGGTTCTAAAATTATTAGCCTTGGTAATATTTCAGCTTAAAACGTAATAAATGTTTGATCACCGTGCAATTATACGGTGTGATTCTTCATAATCGCACCCTTGTGATTTTCAGCTGCAAAGAAGAGTAACACAAAAGTAATTATCATCATCGTGGTGGTCGTGGTTTTGATCGCTTTTGTGACCATCCTCAGCAGCATATGCGTTTACTTGAGAGTGAAGAAACGAGGGGTAAAACTTGAAGTTGAAGGTAAGTGCAACTCTTGTGTCACACTATCTCATCTGCTGTTGGAACTTTTGCCAATTTAATTAGTTTCCTTTTCCAGATAAGGATAACTCAGATGAAATCAGTTTTGTGGAATCGTTGAAATATGACTTTGACACTATAAGATCTGCAACGGATGACTTCTCTGATGCAAATAAGCTTGGAAGCGGTGGATTTGGAGCTGTTTACAAGGTAAACCAAAATAAATAAATTTTCACAAGAAAGAAGATTACCTATGAATTGTTTCCTTATTTTTCTCCTTTACACATTCAGGGAAGGCTACAAAATGGGCAACTTATAGCCGTAAAAAGGCTCGCTAAGAATTCTGAACAAGGCGATCGTGAATTTTCGAATGAGGTCATGCTACTTGCTCAACTTCAACACCGAAATTTAGTCAGGCTCCTAGGATTTTGCTTAAAAGCTGAAGAAAGACTCCTCATTTACGAATACGTGGCAAACCAAAGTCTTGATCACTTCATTTTTGGTATATTTCTTCACTTCAAATTCGGTATAATTCATAGTAACGTCTTATAGATAATATGACACACACGTGCACATGCACACACATGTATCATTCTAATGAAATAATATTTAGGCCCCAACAATCATATGCATTTGGATTGGGATACACGGTACAAGATCATAGGAGGCATTGCTCGAGGGATTCTTTACCTTCACGAAGATTCTCGTGTTCGAATTATTCATCGTGATCTCAAAGCGAGCAACATTTTGTTAGATGAAGATATGAACCCAAAAATTGCTGATTTTGGTATGGCAAGATTGTTTGCTATTGATCAAACTCAAGGAAATACAAAAGCAATTGTGGGAACCTAGTAAGTATTGTATTAACATGGCAAGCTAGCTTTTACACCTTAGTGTTCTGCTTTGTTTACACTAGAATTCAAAAGAAGAAAAACTTGAAATTTTAAATTGGAATATAATCATGCAGTGGATATATGGCTCCTGAGTATTTACATCATGGGAATTTATCTGTAAAAACGGATGTCTTCAGTTTCGGTGTCCTGATTCTTGAAATTGTTAGTGGTAAAAAGATTGGTCGCTTTCGACACAGTGAGAATGGAGAGAGCCTTCTAAGCTATGTGAGTAATAGTACAATCAAGTTAGTGGATTCCCTCTTTTTCCTACAAGGCAAAGTGGTAAAATTTATTTATTGTGTATATTTATGTACTTTTTAGGCCTGGAGAAATTGGAGGGAGTCTACAATTTCAAATGTCATAGATCCCATGTTGACAACGAGTTCAAGAATCGAAACGACGAGATGCATCCACATTGGTTTACTTTGTGTACAAGAAAATGTTGTCAACAGACCGACATCAGCTTCGGTTGTATCCATGCTTAATAGCCATTCTGTCACGCTTTCAGTACCCTCAAAACCTGCATTTCATATGCAAAACAACAGTGGATCGGACCTGACATTGGTAGAGTCTGAAGAATCCGAATTCAGAACCCCTTCGGTCTATGTGTCAACAAATGAGCCTTCAAATATTACCGAGCCTAATGCTCACTAGTTATGAACCATATGGTAACATACTTATTATTTATTTTGCAGCACAAGTCATCATTTTGTATTCTTGTTTCATGTTGCTTTAGATATGTAACTGTTTATCTCCATGGGGGAGTTATCTTTCTATTAATTAATTGATCTCTGCTTTCGAGCTGCAACCAAGTTACTCGATGAATAAAGCTGGAATTACGATTCATTTCCGAACATTCAACGTGCTGTTAAGTCATCTTTTTGTATTCTTGCTTCAAGTTGGTGTCGTTATTCTTATAACTTATTAGAAAACTTTTACGGTAAAACTAGTGGATGTCTTCCCTCTTCCAATTAAATACTATGTTTTCTGAATTAGTCATAGAAAAGAGAAAACATTGAATCTATCAACGCAAATTATGAGAGGCTTTCAGGGCCTCCTATTATTTATAGTCATGCATGCCTTTTGGACCACTAGCCTTCAACCATCGAGCAAACGGTTCGAAATATTTGTGATACGAATGCTACTTCTTCTACAACAAATCGTATCAGATAAATATTAGTAAATAGTCTTTCACATTGAAATATTAAAATAGATAAAACTAATATAATGATGACAAAATACTTATCTTTGGTAGGGTAGAAACCTCTTTTCGTCGATGCTTGATTAGAACAAGATTTTAGGTTGAGGCGTGTAATCATTGTTATTAAAAGTAGATTTTGTCCCTTGAAGACAATGCCTCGGTGTAGCATGTTAGTGCACCACTCTCCAAGATACAACAAGATCCTTGTAAGCATGCACTTGTAATACTTGGATCGAGTGAACAACTCGATTCTTTCCTTTTGTACAAAACAATTGAATGACATAGCAACACGTCAAAGTCTGAAATTCAAAGTTTTTTCAATCGGGGATGGATGTTGAAGTTTTGATTTTTTTTTAATTTTTTGATTTATTTATTTATTTTTATGACCGAATTGAATGAAAATGAAACTCATAATTTCAATTTGATATGTCCGAAAATTAGGCATGCATACATATGGAGAGCAGGCTAGGCAATGAAGTTTAATTCTAGTTGTGACCTATGGGACAATGGGACATGCTAATCTCATATGTAACATAAATAAATAAATAAAAACCCACAAAATCCAAAGCAAATGTTACTATTATTTGATGGTTTATGATGTCCAAGTCGAAATTAGTACGTTTCAAAAACCTCCACAGCCTGCTCAATTCATTGCCTTCAAAGTTCAAATCCTTCTGTTTCCAAGCTGTACAATACTTCGCTGGAAATGGACCAGATAGAGTTTATGGCCTTAATATGTGCCTTCACAATGTTAGTTCCAGTTAGTAGAAAGACAGGTGTCATTCAATTAAGCAAGTCAGAAGAGGCCATGGGCAAAAATGGTGCAAAAAATTTCAACTCGTTTTGGAGGTAAATTAAATGAGTAATAATAAGAAGATTAAATTTTGTAAATTAAATAACATTGAAGTTAATGATTTGATTATTACTTAAACGTTGATAAACGTGCTCATTTCCTATTGCTAACATATAATTTAGTTTGTAAATTTTATCTATAAATTTATTCTCTTTAACATTACCCAAATTAAATAGGTATGTATTAGTACCAAATATGATTGATATGTCTCAATTTTAAGGTGTATTAATAAATAAATAAATAAAATAATAATACTAAGTGGTCGTGTTCAAGGTGCATCGAAACATTTACCAGATATTATTTCAACACGATTATCATGCGAAGAGGAGTGAACAATAATTAGTTTGAAATGCTCAGCCAAAATTTAATGTTTGTAATTTAAACATGATTTGAATTAGAGTTGAAATTTTCTGCACCATTTTTGCCTGTGGCCCCTTTGTGCCTTGCTTAATTGAATGGCACCTGTCCTTCTACTAACCAGAACTGACACTGTTAAATTGACAATATCTAAAATAATAAAAAATAAACAAAATATTCAAGAATTTTTTGAAAAATACGTATCAGCCACTTTCATCCCCAACCCAGACGACAGCCACCACTCGACCACATCAGTCAGCCACCATACCCGCCGCCGTACTTCTTCCCCTCCACATCGCTGCCGAACAGGCCGTTTCCCACTCTCTCAAAATTGCCGCACCATATTTAAACTGTTGATGTTTACTCATTTTCCTTCTTTCAGTTCCAAAATAGTACTTTTAGCGGTACCAGTCGGCCGCCGAGGTTGATGTCGCAGCAGTCCGAAGCTATGGCCTGCGATTTTCAAACCTAATGAATACAGATTACAGAGCGACGGGGGGAGTACGAGAGGTAGGGCTTTAATTTTGCAGTGTCTCTGTTCATAAACTCACCGATAAAAATTTCGATGTGAAAGCTACGGACAATCTCGCCGGCAATGACCAGAGAAGAGGTCGACTTAAAACCAACCTAACGGTCATGAATCGCAGGAATTGCAGAACATGGAAAGAGAATTGAGCCAGAGAAAATTGCCCATGGCGTCGAAAATAATTTATGCACAGAGACTGCTTTTTAGGCTGCTAGGGTTGTTTCTTGAATATTTGGTTTATTTTTTATTATTTTAAATATTGGCAAGTTAACAGTGTTAGTTGTAGACTTGTAGTGAGTAAGAAGACAGGTGTCACTCAATTAAGCAAGGCACATAGGGACACAGGCAAAAATGGGTGCAAAAACCTTTTGTTAATTTATGTCCGTTACTCTTTTTCAATTCATCTGATCTGACGGTCAAAAATTAAAAAGATGTGTGAGAAGTAAAAAAATATGTGTGGATATCACATTCTAAAATTCAACTCCTCCAAAACGCCACATCATTACCGGCGCCTGCACCAAGAGCTCCTGGTCCTTGTCCAAGTCCTCGTCCTGGTCCTTGTCCACCTAAAGGTACCAATTGATTTTATCGCTCAAATCATGTTAAAGTTTCCAATGAATCAATTTCTAAGAAGCTGCAATTTAGTAAAGCTCAAAATTGATGGAAATGCATCGCGCTGTAATAGCACATACTTTGTGGTGCATCCACTTAGCTGAAGGCTGAAGCCAAACGTGTTGGCAATTGTCAATCCCATATCGTTAGGGGAAAAAGAAAAATTTTGATTTAAATATGATTACCCTATTCTAACTAATGTTGAAGTTTTTTTGTGGTAAAACTTCATACCTGACAGATTAGATATGTGGTAGTTATCAAATTTGGGTCAGTATCTCAAAGCTTTGTGTGGAAACTATTTATACCTGTTGTGACTAATACATTCAACACCCATACATTTACATATACATCATTATTTCCTTCTTCTTTGTGGTTGGCCCACAACTCAATATTCCTTATCAATCAGTCACACTAGGCCTAACTTCCCTTCAAAGTTCGATTAGTCCAATAGGTGCCAAAACATGAATTCCGCGTATAATGATAAAAGGTTGAGAGGTACCCCTTAGAAAAAGTCCAGTGATACCTATGAGCTTATGTCACAAAGAAATGTAAAAGACAGAACCTTTCTTTCTTCAAATGGAATTGGTCTCTTCAAGGTTTTATTAAAAAAAAAAAAAAAAATTAGGAATTGGTCTATTTCTCGATTTAATACAAGATAGTGACGAACTAGCGATTTGTTAAACTATGAAACACAACAGAGTCGCTAGTCCTGATACCATATTAACAGTTGAAGGTTAATCAAACAAGAAGAATACTAAGATCAAAGAATGGTATGAAAGAAAGAGAAGTGAGCTGAGAAAGAAGAGAGATTAATGTAATTGTTCGGATTCAATTCAATGTAATGAGAGTCATTTTACAATATGTTATTTTAACACATTTGAAAAACTAACAGACTTGTAACAAACTTAACCACTCTAAGTTGAAATGGCAAGGACCAATAGACATCAACCACATGCATAACTGCAATTCTACTCTGTTTACACTTCTCAGTGAGATTAGTCTCTATTTGATTGGAGGAGATCTCTAGTTATGACTGATATAAATTGTAAAAAGTGTGCATTTGTTGTGAGTTTGAAACTAAATTGTGGCTACCATCATTGGAAGAGAAGCCGCAATCGAATATGAGAAGAGGAAAAATCTGTTAAAGTGATTTAGAATGTAAATGAAAGATTTATATAGTTAGAAAATGTAATTATGAGATAAAGGCTCAGAATAAAAAAAGTAGAAAAAGACATAAGAAGATTTGGAAAGAATGTTTAAAGAAAAACGTGGAGTACTTAGAACAAACAGAAGACTTGGTGCAAAATCGAGCATAATGACCTTTTTAAAATTATATATATAACCAACCCTATTTAACGAAATAAAACTTGTTATTGTTGTAATGATCGTCAAACCAAATACTATACGCCATAATTGATCAAGGGAACAAAACCTGCAAATCTAATTAAGGGTCAAGAAACCAGCTGGGTCGATAGTGACATTTGAGTCGAGGAACCAAGGTCTTCTGTTTAATTTGATTTTTCTTAGCATCTTCCACCTCATCTAGTCTATGAAAATCAATAATTGAAGACAAGTTGACAATTTCTGACACGGGCAAGAGAGAAATGGGATCCTCAAGATCATTGCTTATCTTCATTGCTTAAAGTGTGCATTTGTTGTGAGTTTGAAACTTAATTGTGGCTAGCATCATTGGAAGAGTAGCCGCAATCGAAGATGAGGAGAGAGAAAATCAGTTACGATAATTTAGATATGTGAATAAAAAATCTATATGGTTAGAAAATATGATTATGAGATAGAGGTTCAAAACAAAAAAATTGAGAAAGACATAAGAAGATTTGGAAAGAGTGTTTAAGAAAAAACATGAAGTACTTAGAGCTAACAAAAAATTTAGTGCAAAATCAAGCATAGTAACATTTTAAAATTATATATATAGCCGAGCCTATTTAACGAGATAAAACTTGTAATTGTTGTTATGAGAGTCAAACCAAATGCTATTCACCACAGTTGGTCAAGGGAAAATACCTGCAAATCTAATTCAGGGTCAAGAAACCAGCTGGGTCGATAGTGACATTTGAGTCAAGGAACCAAGGTCTTCTGTTTAATTTGATTTTTCTTAGCATCTTCCACCTCATCTTTCCATTTCTTTTCAACCTTATTCCGTCTATGAAAATCAATAATTGAAGACAAGTTGATACTTTCCGACGCGGGCAAGAGAGAAATGGGATCCTCAAGATCATTGCTTATCTTCATCTTTCCAATTCTTTTCAACCTTATTCCTCCCACCACTTCCCAAAATGACGGTATCTG